ATATTGCATTATTTACGTATACCAAAAAAGAAAGTTTAAATCTTCCCCACCACCCACACACCTTTTTTACAATTTTAGATGAAAAGATAATCTTTACAAAAAAGATAGGCGTAATAATCGTCTAACATTTATTTGGCGATTTTTAATTCCAATTGGTTAAAAAAAAAAAAAAAAAACTTTAAAAATTTGTTATTTGTCTCCTCCTCAATTCTCAACCACAAATAAACATATAATAAAAGGAACAAACCTTATGTCACTAAATATTTATTGTTATGTTAAAATATTGTTGTCGTTGTTATGATAATTTCAATTCTCCACAAAGTAAAAAAAAAAAAAAGAAATTGTGTGGGAATCTTTTGTGTATTTATGATGGTGTGGTAGTGTGAGTAGGAATAGCAAAAGTTAATTGGTAAATACAACGGGTATATGCGTCTTACATGTGGTTTTATTATGTTAATTGGTCGTTGTAAATAAATATAAAAAAGAATAATAAGTTATCTAAAAGACTTTTTTTGTTTTGTTAAATTATATAATTTTATGTATTATTATTTATTTTCCACATTCTCAGGGAATCCATTATTTTTCATTTCATTAATCAATTCTTTCATCGTTATCTTATAATTATATCATTTCTTATATATACATATATATAACAATGTGCTCAAATATGTATGAGAGTGTGTTTTGTATGCAGTATTATGATGTAAGTAATAATGTAAATAATTATAATGTATATGTTAAATATGCTGAATATATATACATATATGCGCGAATGACGATGCAAATGTACATGTGCACGCGGAAGGATTGGAAGATAGAAGGAGTGAAGCCATATGAACCATTATGTTAACCAGATTTAACTATGCTAACCATGTATTAACTTTATGTTAACCTTATTAACCTTATTAACCTTATTAACCTTATTAACCTTATTAACCACATGACGAGTTGAAAGTTATAATATCTATGCACATACACAAATATGTAATACATTAGCTTTTTTTTTTTTGTTTTATTATTACATATAGATATACCAGATATTCTTTACATATTTATGTATATAATATGTTATATATATATATATGCTAACGTACAATATGCGAGCTTAAATAAGATAATAAAACGATCTAGAAAATTATTTTTAGAACATATTTGTACACACACATATAGTATGTATTAAATATGGTATTAAAGGAATTAAAGGTATTGGGAATGAAAATAATATAAGAATAACAAAATAATATTGAAATAATATGAGATTGTGAAATAAAAAAAAGGTATATTTTAATATAAACTATGGGCTAAACAGATACAAATATAAGAAAGAAGAAAGGGAATAAAACGAATAAAACAAATAACAAAAGTGATACGAAATAAACAAAAAAAAAATCATTACAAATAAAATAGAAAATGATGTAAATGATGTGGAGTAAATTAATAAATAAATAAATAAATAAATAAAAATACAGTAAATGTCAATGTTTTAATGTATTGATTAAAAAAAAAAAAAGGAGGAAAATTTGAACTTTCGTGGGGAAATAAATTAATAATTTCTTTATTGGTCATCATCTAACTATTTTACGTTATACTATTATTATTATTCTTCTCTTATTTATTATTCTCTTTTAGTATTTTCTTATTTATCATATTTATTATAGTATCAATGAAAGTATTACCTTCTTATTATTATTATTGATCATTAATGTTTTCTTATTATCTAAATAATTTATGCAGTAAACGAATCAGGAGTGAAGATTTTTTAACCATAAAATAATAGGTAATAAAGATTAAGTTTGAAATCTGATATACTTTATTACTTTATAATTATTATTATTCCGATTTCATTTACCTTCTTTCTATTTTCGAATTTGTGATTATAAATTTTATTTATTTATTTTGTATTACTCTCATTTTTAAAATTACATGTTTTGATAGGTGTAATATTAAATAATAACAATAAAAAATAAATGATCTATTACTTTTATTTTTTGACATTTTTCATTATATTTTATTTATTACTCCTTGTTTTTTCGCCCCTTATTACTTTTCAATACTTCCCAATACTTCTTATTACATCAATTTGTTAATTATTTAATTCTCAATACATTAATACATATTCTCTTTAATATTCTCCTTACAGATATTGTGATATTATTTATGTGGTATTTTGAAATTGTTTTTAGATATAATAAAACATACCACGTGTACACCTTTCATAAAACTGCATTAAAAATACACATTAAGAAATTTCACATTTAGACTATACACAAACATTTAGTTAACTCTTATTCTTTTATTTCTAATTTCGAATTTCATTGACCGATAAAAAATTTAATTTTTTGGTTTACAAATGTACTTACTTGCTTTGTTAGCTATTAATATATTTACATATTTACATATATATAAATACATTATAACATATACGCAGGGACTTCTTTGTATGCATCATGTCTTTAATTTACCCTTTCTTTAGAATTATAATTTTCGATCTCTTTGATCTTCTATTTTTTTTTAAAAAAAAGAAAAATTCAATAAGATATTTAATATAAATAGAAGGTTAAATAGGGAAGTATGAATCAATAATAGAAAGCATTAAAAAAAATAAATAAAATAAAAAATATTAAATCAAAAACATCAAATAAGCATATAATAGAATAAAGTACACAATTAAAGTTCTCTTTACAGAACAAATAGAATAAATCTATGTATGTATAAAAAAATATTAATGATTGATAAATGGTATTTCATATAGTTAACTTATCGGAAATTTTTTTAGTAAAAAAATCAATTTTCTTTCAAATAATCAAATAAGCAGTAGGCAAGATTTTGACTAATAACCTTTTGTCAACCTTCTAAAAACTTCTTGTAATGGTTTCCTTTAAAAAAATAAAACAAAATAAAATTTAATTTAAATTACCATAATTAATTAATTAATTTGTAAAACCTTTTTTTACCTAAAAAAAAAAAATTGAAAGAAATTTTCCACATCTTATCACATAATTAAATGCATTAGGAAAATTCGAAATTAAGAAAATTCTTTCGTGTCAATAATTCGATTGATTAAAGTGATTCAATAGATTCATTGATTTAATTAATTAAAAATGATTAAATTGATAATCACTATATTGATCTAAATTAAAATAACAAAAAAAAATTTTTAAGATTCAGATAATTCTCCAATTATTTTAAATTCGTTCAATCAAACAAATTTAACTTTCGTTCGTTCGTCCAATAAAATTTAATAAAGTTTTAATCAAATTAATAAAGTTTTATTAATAATTAAAGGCATACATGGTTAATGAAACATATGAACTATTCTTCGTACGAAGCAACGTAAATAAAAACTTTAATTCTACCTATTACCATTATGTATAATCAATATTGATATACACAATTGTAACGTCATATGATAAACATTGGTTTCTTTAAAACGTGAACATCGTACATACAGTTAAGTTGTTGTGTTAATATAAAATGTAAATGGTTCGTATGTATATAAAGTTTTGTGTAAGGTTTTTTTTACGTATTTCGAAGAGTAGAAGTTCATCGAATATTATGACGATCGTTACGAGAATTTACAAATATTTTTGTATTTTTATGTATTAATTATTTTTTTTTAATTATTGTTCATCATTATTATTGGGGGGGTTTTAAAATCTAATTTTTTATTATTATTTATTATTCTTTATTATTCTTTATTATCTTTAAGCATTTATGGTAAAGATATAGCCTTTTTTCTTTTTTCTTTAGTCGCGGAAATTAAATTTACCTTTTGTTTACATCTTTATGAATGAAGTAAAAAAAAGGGATTGTGTGAAATATTACGTGTGTATATATTACTGTCGTGAACAATAATTTAACCTTAAAACTTGTTATACTTTATTGTACTTTATTACACTTGATTGTACTTTATTAAAAATGGTTCGTGATATATTTATTTATCAAAACATACAACGAATATTTAACTTACAAGACATACTTCTCGGTCATCTTCTCGATAACGGAGTACATAATCTTGTTTTTTTCTCCAAAACGTGTAAGATGTCCAAATAAAGTTATATTTCATTCATTTATTTATTCATTCATTTATTATAATTATTATGAACATTATTGAGTAACATAATAATAATGTGTAAAATTTTTTGTATTATTTACACGTAAAAATTTTATAGAACGCGTTGCATTACATACTTCTTATGAATAAAATTATTTTCTTTTAGAAAAAATTAGTTGATTGTATTTTCCAAATCAATCTTATTAAACGTTCTGGACTTTAATTTTATTAATTTTCTTGTTCATTCATAAATTTGTAAAAAATCCACAACAATCGAAAGAAATAATTGAATATGATAAAGTTTAACGTGTGACTGTTTCAAAAAAATACAACCTACACAAAGAATATACTGTAAGTTCTAAAATATAATTATAGTTCCAATACTCTTTCGAATAATTATTAAGTCACCAAAAGTAATTGATTTATAATTTATAATTATATGGTTCACTGGGAAAAATTAGGGGAATTATGTAATTTTGCCTAGTGATGATTATCACTAGCAGTGAGCTTTAGCAATAAACACGTGATAATCGTTTAGTTTATATAAAAAAAAATCAAATTTTTCGAATTAAAAGACTTATTTAAAATCATTTTAATAATTTAATAATATTCTCTAAGTCATCGAGTTTAAAGATATTTATTTGCTCTGTAGAATCAACTTCGATATTACAGAAAATCTAATAACATAATAATTTAATAATTTATAAATGTGTATAGTGATATGAAGTAAATTCATAAATAGATTGTTTAAATCAATGTAGATGTCATAAAGTGGATAATAACTTTATTAGATTATTCATATTTCACAAAATTATATAAATAACAATTAATATTATTAAAAAACTCTTATAAAGAATATAAGGAATATGTGAAAAAACGGTAAGGAATTTGTAAAAAAAAACATACAAAAGAACATATAGAACATTAAATTTCAAGATTTTAAAGATCACACCCAATAAATCGTATTTCTGCATTTTTTGACTACAGTATTAACCAAATGTTCTCTCCTAACATCTATTCTATCAATAGGTTTATATAAAATACATCTTTCAGTCAAAATCTGCATTAATTCATGTTCTGATTTCATTTTCAATTGGGCTGTTCTTTCCTTGACACAATCAAGTTTTTTAGTTGCATTTAACGTGATAATCATATCTTTAAAAGATTGATCTAATTCTAAATCTGTTACTTCAGTATTAATTAAATCCACTCTGAGTTCTCTACATAAAAGTGTGAGGAAATCTTCGATTTTAGCGAAAATTCGTATATAGGCTAAATCATCATATGGAGTTTTTTGACAGTTAACGATAATCACCGGTTTTTTACGGGTAGCAACATACTGTGTAAAACAGTTTGCAGGATAAACAATGAGTGAAGAACCAAGAATAATATATAAATCACAAAGTTTGGTGTGAGTTTGAGCTATTGTAAGTGGTTGTTGATGCGGGCTTTCAGCATGATCGAAACAATTGATAATTGTATCTTGAAGAACTTCTATTTTTAAATAATTAGAATTTTTGAAATTTTAAATCAAATTATTAACAATTATAACAATTATTAACATATTATATTATATATCATTATTACATACGATCACAATTTTCACATTGACGAACAGTTTCATGTCTACGACCTTGTTCGTGAGTTTCTTTAACTTCGGCTGAAGATTTAAGTACATTGGAATTTCTCCAATAAGATCTCTCACAAATTGGACATTTCTCAATGTTAATGTTTCCATGTAATTCTGATATTGAAGTAACTGGAATTCCACTACGTAAGTGAAGACCATCTGTGTTCTTAAATTGAAAAGAGGTCATCACGAATATAATAAATTGATATCAAGGATGGAAAATTATAAACAGAATATATAATTTATGCATGTAATTAACCTGAGAAATCAAATGTTTTATATAACCATCTTCACATAATTTATAAATGGCAGCATGTCCTCTAGTGGGACGAGTTCTTGTGGGATCTGCAAGAGTAGACTGAATACCTTCTTTAAGAAGTGTCAAATAACCTGAGATCACGGTAAATAAATAATTAGTTCTTCATGTGATCATAAAGTGATTAGTAAAAATAAAATAATTTCAATTTCATACCGTAAGGACCTTCATTTAAAAAATTGGTACATTCATTGGATATAAAAAAAAAAAAAATCAAAATCAAAAATTTCCATCAAAAAAAAATTTTTTTTTTGAATTTATGTGGATAATCTACCTCGAAAATCTTGAATTCCTATCATCATTTTGAAATAATAAAAAAATAAAAAAAAAAAGTCCATGGTTTAATGAATTTATGATTTTTTTTCATATCTTTCATATTTTTTTCACTTTTTTCATAATGCTAACCAGCACTGGTCGAAACACCTGCACCAGTGAACATAACCACATGATTTGAATTACGAATAAGTTCGGCCAATTTTCTGATTTTTTTTTGTACTTGATCGATTGGATCAATATATTCTTTGATGTCATCTGGTAATTTGATCGAAGCAGACATTTTTTATTTTATTTTATTGTTTTGGGAAATTATCAGATTCCCGATTAAGAAACAAATAATTTTTATAAAAGGATTAAAAAGTATTTAGGAAAATATAAATAAAAAGAAGAACAAGAGGAAATAAAGAAAGTAGAAAACAGCGAAAGAAAAAAAAACTGATTTATAAGTTCTTGAATCATTCCGATGTCATCATCAATATTATCAAATCACGTACATTTTTATATTGACACTAAAAATAATACAGTAATAATAAACTCAAAATTGTACGTTTAGAACAATTATTACATTAATTCAGTAATTAATATGATAAAAAATATGATAATATTTGAAGATTATTATAAGGCTTAAAATGGTTTAAGGTTATTAAGCTGCATTCTTTGTATTATTTGTATTACTTATAATAACTAAGTACGCTTTTATTGTCTTATAACCCCATCGACCTTTAAATCAATTAATCTATTATGAAATGGTCGTTTTATCCTCCATTCTAAGATAAAGCAGAAAATCCAAAGGATTTTGGTAGAGATCTTCATTTTAAAAACAATTTTAGAAATTGATGTCTATAAAAGTGATGAAAGACTTGTTATCAAAACATTATTAAACCGTAATAATAGAAATAATCGAATGAAATATTCAAAAATTTCGAAACAAGTGAAAAAATAATAAGTAAACAATATTTTACAATTAAACCAAAATTATAATAATATTTGGAAATTTAGAAAAAATACATCTATCTATATATTCAAGCCCATATGTAATAAATCTAAATATATTTAAGCCCATTTTTAATAAATCTAAATAAAGGCTCGATTTTTTTTTTTATAAATCTCTATAAAATTATTAATTAATTATAACTTTCAATTATAATAGTTAGCTAATCACATATTACATTTAGTTTCAATTAATTTTAATAAAATTTTAATTAATGTTTCGGTTTAATTCTTCTGTCTAATTTACGTCGGCGTACTCTACTCTTTGGATTATCACCTGCTTCACTTCGTTCATCATCACTAGAAAATGGTTCTTTATCATCATGGGATGTTTCCTTTTCTTTAAGTGATTTTTTCTTAAGACCTATCAAAATTTTATTTAAAACTTTCTTATAAACCAAAACTGGAAATAAATCACCTAAGCCAGGTTTGGCAACTTCATCTTCGCTCAGCACAAATTCTCCTTCATCAGTGAGAAATGCCACCTGATCTCCATCTACAATGAATTGTTTATCTTGTACAGAAACTTTCTTTCTAGTATATTGTTTTTTCATTCGTTTACCCCATGCATTTTCTCTAGCTTGATTCATGAAAAAACGAACTCGTTTTTTCTCTTGAAAAAAGTTCACCCACATAACAAGATAATGTAAAAAGGAACATAACACAAATAGACCGGTAAGAACTCCCGTAAGACCTGGTCGATAACGACTATAGTACCAGCCAGTTCCTCTCCATTTGGGAACACCATTTTTTAGAAAAAAATTATAACGTTCTCGATTTTCTGAATTACGAAGTATTGCTGTGATAGAACCTAATAACGCAAACTTTTCCTTGCTATCTTCATCAGGATTTTTATCGGGACTAATTAAAAAAAAGAAAAAGAAAAGGAGAGAAAAGTTTCAAATTCAATTTATCTGTTGAAATAAGGCTGAAATAAGGTCAAATAAGACTGATATTTATTATTAACGTACTGCAAAGCTAATGAGAGCTTTCTATATGCTCTCCCGATTTCTTTTTCTGTGGCTGAAGGTTCTATCCCAAGTAAAGAGTAAAATGTAGCTTCTTCTCCTTCATTCATCGTCAACTGGTCAACAAGATCAAAAATTTCATGGTCAACTAAATGAAAAAATCATTTTAATGTAATTATTTGTGTTTTAGAATAATTTTTGAATCCTTTGTATAGATGCATGGAACTTACGTTGTTCCCAGGCTTGTGTGCCAGGTAAGATAAATAAAAGAAATAGAATAACGAAAGAAGCAAGACGACGTTTAAAATACGCCATCAATAATGATTTCTAGAGAATATTAGATCCGAAAATTTATATTATTTTTTTTTTGTTTTATGAAAAGAGGGGAAAAAAAGATGAAAGAGAAGCCCCAAACACATCAATTTGAGTTGAACCAATCGGTAGAAATTTAATTTGAAACATAAATATATATAGAAAATTTGTACACATCGTAGTCACACCAATCACCTGATCGTATAGTATGTATACTCAAAAAATATCAAAAATATCGAAAATAGGTGATCTGGGTTACTTGTTTCAAAAATTTACATCTATATAGAATTGCGTAATCTTCATTGACACATTAAAAGTTAGAAATAAGTTTAAAAGAAATGACAAGCGTAGACTTTCTCGGGGTTAGCTAGCTGAAATTACTATATTTTAACTTTTCGCTGTAATTTTGCTTTACTCCGTTATTGTTTTTTTTTTACATTAACAAAATCCCACAATACGCACTTTAATATGACTTCTTAAAGAAAGCTATTGAAATAGTAAAAAAAGCTACCGAAGAAGATAATAATCGTAACTATGAACAAGCCTATAAGTATTATTCGAATGCGTTGGACTATTTCATGACTGCTATAAAATGTACGGAATGAAACCTATGTATAAATAATTATATGGTCCTTAAGGTCCTTAAACAAGAAAGATATTTTGATACATTGAAAAAAAAAATTAATTATCGATTATACATAAACAATTTGTAAACAAAGGAAAATTTATGTTATATTGTTATTTTCATAATGATAAATAGATGAAAAAAATGAAGGTAGTAAAGAAACCATTCGTAAAAAATTTACCGAATATCTTGATCGTGCAGAGAAATTAAAAAAATATCTAAATGAGGAAGAAGAAAAACGACAGAGAAAAGCTATTGGAGCGAATGGTTCTGAACGTGGTGGAGGTGGTGGAGGTAGTAGTAGTAAAGGAAGGTTAGTATTTATTCAATTATAAATTTCGGATTCATTTGAAGTAGTTATAAATGAAATGTATTAATTATAATTTTTTTTTTTTTTTTTTAGAAAGAAGACCGGTTCAAGTGAAGATGAAGATGAAACTGATCCTGACATTAAAAAATTGCGTAGCGCATTATCAAGTGAGATTTCTGATGGCATTATTATCAAACCTTATTTCCGAGATTATATTAAAATATAATTCAAGAAAAAAGTGAATAATTGAAAAATTTTTGAATATTCAAGCCGCTATACTTAGAGAAAAACCAAATGTGCGTTGGGACGACGTTGCTGGTTTAGAAGTCGCTAAAGAAGCATTGAAGGAAGCCGTGATTTTACCTATCAAGTTTCCTCATTTGTTCACTGGTATCTATATTTGATCAATAATTTCCAACATAAACATTACAAACATGAGTTGAAATTTTTATCATTATTTTTTTTAAGGAAAGCGAAAACCATGGTCTGGTATATTATTATACGGACCTCCAGGAACAGGAAAATCGTATCTCGCTAAGGCAGTTGCAACAGAGGCGAACTCTACTTTTTTCTCTGTTTCATCGTCTGATTTGGTGAGCAAATGGATGGGTGAAAGTGAACGGTGAATATAATAATAATTAAAATATTTGAATTTTCTCAAATATATTTAATGAATGTTCAAAATTATTATTATAAACATTATTTGAATATTATTAATTAAATTGCATTTATTTTATATATATATATATTTAAAGTCTCGTTAAAAATCTTTTTGGAATGGCTCGTGATTGCGTTCCTTCAATCATTTTTATCGATGAGGTTGATTCCCTTTGTGGTCAACGTGGAGAGGGTGAAAGTGAAGCAAGTCGTAGAATCAAAACTGAATTTTTGGTTCAAATGAATGGTGTAAGCGCTGAATCCACTGGAGTTTTAGTACTGGGAGCTACGAATATTCCATGGCAATTGGATTCTGCCATTAGACGAAGATTTGAGAAGAGAATATATATACCTCTACCGGATCTCGCTGCAAGAGCTAAAATGTTTCAACTGAATATAGGAAATACGCCTTGTAAATTAGAGACAAATGATTTTAAAAACTTGGGTGAAAAGACGGAAGGGTGAGCACGAATTACTCTTTATTATTATTATTATTATTATTATTATTATTATTATTATTATTATATTTTATTAATTATATTATTGAATTGAATATATTATTCCTTATAGATATTCTGGGTCGGATATTGCAGTAGTGGTACGAGATGCCTTAATGGAACCTGTTCGTAAAGTTCAAACTGCAACACATTTTAAACAGGTATATTATTTATATTATTCATACTTATAAGTCTACATATAAATTTAATTGTGATCTGATAATTCTTTATTTGTAATTCTCTTACTGTTAGATTGATGCACCTTGTCGTGACAACCCTGAAATTACCAAACAATATCTCACTCCATGCTCACCTGGTGATCTAGGTGCTAAAGAAATGACTTGGATGCAAGTTGATTCGGATAGTTTACTAGAACCTGAATTAACATTAAAAGATTTCATTAAGGCGATACAAATAGCTAGACCTACAGTAAACGCTGATGATATTAAAGCACATACAAAGTTTACAACGGATTTTGGACAAGAAAGTTAAAAATAAATAAATAAAAAAAATAAAGTCAATTTAGTCAAATGTCATAAAAATTATAGATATTGGTGCACTAACGCATATAAGCATATCACTTTTATTATATAGAAAGATCGTTATTATTATTATTTTTATTTTTATCATTATAATTATTTTACTTATTAATGTATATTTTTTAAGCAATATCATATTAAAGGTTGTTTAAAGTTCAAAAAAAATTTTATCAATTAAAATTTATAAAAGATTTTTATTTAATAAACTCTATTATAATACATAAATAATAATTAATTTTTTTTTTATTTATTTTTTAATTACATAAATTATTTAAGAATCTTATTCTAAATAATCTATCTAAATTACCTAATTAATCATTGTATTTTAAGAAAATTTTATTATATCTGAAAATTTATTTATAAAAATTATGCAAATGCATCTTCACGATCAGCTTCAATATCTTCCTCCATTGAAGAGAAATTAAGGAAGTGTTGAGGTCTATGTAATTCATGATAAAATTCTTTGGGAACATCTAATTTTATATTATATTTCATATTAGCACTGTGAGATGGACCCATAAATGAATAATTCCAAATATCATTTTCGGGAACCATAAAGAATCCCATAAATCGATCTGATAATAACATTTGAACTCTATCAGAGAATGTCGGAAGATAACCTGGCGGATTGACTGATGTATCCTTATTATTACGTGCCCATTCAAATCCTGCTGGATTAAGTTTATATGATGTCAGAGAACATGATCCTGGAGTGAAACTTACAGTCATTGTAACTGTTTTATCTCCATCCCAATTTTTATTCTCTGCTACAATCTTGGCATGAAGGCATAATATAGAGGGCGATAATTGAGCTGTTTCAAATGGTTGTGTAACAATTAGACCAAGTGGTTCAAAATCTTTAATATATTCATGTTCTGGCATCATATTTGGTAAATGTACTGATTGATGTGTGCCATATTGAGGAACAATTACTAATGCTCTAATTTCTTTAACCTGCGTATTATCACGAGGAGATATACCGTACATATATGCTGCAATTTGTGTCCTCAAATCAGCAATTTGAATAAATCGTTTTAATAAATTCTTTGGAAGAACATATGTATATCCAGTATCTCTAATATCTTCAGCATTTACATATATATGATTGGTACGAAGGTGTAAGTTTGTTGATGAAATTGCTCGTACACGCCATTCGGTTTTTGATGCAAATGTTGCTGTCTCATAATTACTTGTAGTTACTACCAACATTTCATCACCATGTACGTTTTGAGTTTTAGTCGTTACGGCCGTAAGTTGACTTTGTTCTTTCGTTTGTTTCTCAATTTCTGCAATTTGTTGTCGTTGAAGAGATGGTGCAGAAATTTCCATTCCCAAAATAATGTCTCGAATTTCTGATTGAGTAAGTGATGCAACATTGACATTATTCTTTTTACCATAATCAGCCAAGATTAAATCTTTAAGTGCAACTTCAACTTTAATCCATTCTTCATCACTCAAAGTTGGCCAAATATGATGAGGCTCAGTTATAGTCGTTTTATCTGGTCTTAAAATTATCTTTGTTTTGTCGGTGTTCACGTGAAGTGCACGAAGAATAAGTATAAGACGTGAAAATGCCGTATATGATGAAATTGTTTTGAGCCAATCATCATATAAATTGAACAATGTCATTTGAGGTTCCGTTGCTCTAAGAATTAAGTCGCCAAACTTTTCTAATTTCAAACAAGCTTGGAATGGTAATTGTAATTCACTTCCTTTAATGACAATGTTAGGGAAATCTAATAAATGCACTTCTAAAGGATCCAACATTCCCTTTCGAGTAACAATAATTTGTTTAGGTTGTTCTTCGATTGGCAATGAACGAATCAAAGCTGCCACTTCTTCGGCGGTTTTCCATTTTGCCAATTGTCCCAAACGTTTTTGTCCAGCCCACACAGAAGTATGAATAATCTTTAAGAATAATTGTCCCGTTCTTGGATTGAAAATGAAAATAGCTCCATTAATCGGTTTAGTTGTCAAGTTACCTTCAAAAGTTTTATGAATAGTTACACGATATACGTTTGTATCATCTACAAACCAAATAATTTGATTTGAAAATAATTCTGAATAATTCTGTGATGATAAATATGGTTCAGTAGGTTCTGAACTATATAATTGTAAACCTTTTCGTATACGTTCCCGTAAAACGTATAAAGCTGGATTGGCTTTCATTATTTTCGCCATTGCTGATTGAATTAATGGTTTCATTCCAGGAATCCAGTGACCATAAGCACTATGTAAATTATACGCAAGATCAATTCCTATCATTATACCAAAAGGTGAAGGATAAATACTCATATTATCTGTGGAATAATCTAAGAATTTGGCTCTAGTATATCTCTCTATGTCATGAGAGTCGAAATCTCCCCATCTTAATTGGCAATCAACAAACCATCGTGATGTTGTTGTGCCATCCATTACATCTTTATTATCATTTAATAGAGAAGGTTTTGAGACGTTCCATTTGTAAGAAGCAAATAATAAAATGTCGGCACATGAGGAATTCATTTTGTAAGATTTTCTAGGATGAATGGATTCTTTTTGTACTGTCTCAATTTGCAAGCTCTCAAGTTCAGAATCAAAAACTTGACATAAATCCATAATAACACTCTCATGTATTTTTTGCCATAAATGAGCTCGGAAAATTTGGATCAATGATATTTTTAGTGTTGGTATTTTTCCGTGCATAAATATACCTGTAAGATCTAATTGGACTTGAAAACCAACATACACGTTAGCTCGATTAATTGTAGGAGACCACCATAATGTAAATCGACGATTAGGAATTTGGTTGAGACCGGATCTTTGAGCATTTGTCAATTTTTTGTATCGCATACTTTCTTCGAATCCAGAAGCTTTTTCCCAGAAGAGACCTTCCCATGTGGAAAAGTATGTACCTTTAAAAAGTGTGTGCTCTAATATTCCTTCAACACCACCTAAAGCTTGAATCATATCAGATCGATAATTGTTTAAGCACCATAATTTACCATCATGTCTAGAATGTGTCCACCAAAATGGATTGTTCTTTAATATTTGATAACTTTTGAATTCAGTTCTAACCCTCCAACCTTTATCATACGCTAAGGTATGACGATCTTTTGAAAAAAGAGTATTAATACGTGGTAAACCTCTATCCCACGAATCTTCTAAATCTTCGAGTGTCAAACGCCTGTTCTGGGCATTTGCTTCTTGTCTTTTCAATGCATATTCAGCCCAAACACGTTGTGAGTCAATAAATTCCGATTCCCAAGGTTGAAGATATCTGAAAAGATTAGGTATTAATTGATCTTCTTCATGGCTCATTCCGGATCGGAAATGAGTTATGCCTGTCTCTGTTTGTTTACTCCATCTGAGATCGCTTTGAGGTATGAGAACATGTCCCATAGAAAGCATTCCTAAACCACCAATTTCCTTTGGGCAATAAAACACTACAGGAGGAAATCTTGAGGGCATTTTAGAGTTCAACCCTATCTTAATTCTAGTCTGTATTTTGTTCTCCGCTTTTACAATAATGTCTAACAGTTCACGTGTATGAACAACGGCTTCTCTGAAATAAGACATCAAACCTATCAAACAAGTGTTCCATTTGTTACTGATTTTGCTGAATGTTGTGCTTCCACTGGCCATCAAAATTTGTCTAACCCGATTATGAAATTTGTTCATAGATTCTTCATCAACTCGAAGGAAAGCTTGTGCTGTCCTTTCCTTCGTTTGTTCATTAATCAAATTCCAGACACCATCTTTAAGTGTGAATTCTTCATTTAAATTTCTAATTTTTGGAAGAATTCTTACTTCAAATCCGCACATAGAGAATAATACATTTGGATTATCTTTTGAATATACGCTAACAAATGTATCTTCCCATTCAATTGTGGTAAGCGAACGCGGTAATCTGTTTTTTATATCCCAGAATACAGCCCTTCCAGCGTTAACGTCACTCTTAAATAATCTCATGCGACAATCCCGTGGCCAACACTTTTTATTGTTGTAACCAACTATATTTTCTGAGTTAGGATCTGGATGTTCTGTAAGGTAGCGTTGAATAAGATCTCTGGCTTCTTCGGCATTGAAACGGAAAAATATATAAACTTTGTCGATGTATCTACAGTATAGTCTAATTGGGTGTCTTGTTTCTGTAACTACATCACGGTATTGTAAGAATTCGTTAGGACATTGTGGAGGACCAGCCATTTCAGATGCTCTTTGAAGACCCAAAAGCAACAAATCGAGAATGAGACCATAATATTGGAATATAAAACTAGCAAATTGTAACCCACGAATAAGACCATATGCATTCACGTGATTCATATCCTTATAATTGAGGACCACGTTATTTTTAGCTGTCATGTAATCCGCAAGATTATGATCCAAAATCAATCTCAAGAGTCGATTCAACAAAGTCAAATCGATCTTTTCATAAACCTTGCTAAACTGAGTTTCCAACATAACATTGATTTCACCATTTGAAGTTTCCCAAACATCTGTTAAATTATTGATACCTTGACAGAATTTATAAACAAGTAATGGAGGAGGTTCTGTGTCAGATGGTTTGATCCAAGCTGGGAATAAATTTCTCTTGGTTCCTTCGTACCAAAGATATTGATCAAGATAAGCATCAGTAATTTTTTCAAGAGGTTCAACATCAAATACTGGAATTAAATGACTATAAAGATCCATGAATTCAATTCCGACTTCTTTAAAAGCACGTTGGGTCAACAAAAGACGTTTGATACGACTAAGTGCTTCGTGAGGATTATCATAAGCCTGTTCAATCAAACCTAACTCTTCACGTTGACTTTGATTAAGACGTCCTTTTACGCTATAAGCTTCTTTCAACCTTTCAAGGGCCAAAATCAACAATTTCGTGTCGTGTTTGTAAGAAAGAGGTGGGAAGGGAATTGGAGAAAATTTACGACTTTCTAACCAATGTACAGTAGAAGTATAAATAGCAACGGCTTCTTCTGCAGTAATATAAGGTCCATCCTTAAGATAATTATGTTGCCGTTCTTGCTCTGCTTTTAACCATAAACGAGTTAAACGTCCAAGATTTTTCTTACATACAGTTTTATCAACTGTAGCTCCTCTTCGAATTCTTTCCCGATTATAATGTGCTACACTAGTCCACCAATCTGCTTTGCTTTTCACATATCTCAAAATCATATTTTCTATGGGCTTTGGCATTCCCATTATATGCCATGGGACATTTGCTTTCCAGCATCTCCACGCTTCACTTAAATGTTGTAGTATAGTCTTTGATTTATTAGCTTTGATACCTTCAGGCATCATATCTAATATATCATGCATAACTGCTGCGCGAAGTTCAAGATCATAATGTGATTCGACACGTTGTTTGGTTACTGTCTTTGCAATTCCTTTGGAATGACGACCTTCAAAATGACGAGCCAACAGATTTCCAAGCCAGCGTTCTAAGAGAGGAACAATTCCTCTCATAAAAAAGAGCCAAACACGCCATCCGGGAGCCCAAAATCCACAACCCGGACCTTTACCGACAGGCCCGGTATTAAATCGATAGTATATAAGGTGTTTAAGATCTTTACATAATCTGATTTGACGCATGAGACGATATTTGTATCGATACATTCCGGTTAATTGTCCAACGTGCGCAAATATATATTGTAAACCATCAGCTAACTGAAATGCATCAACGTTACCTAGTCGATATTGCACATGTGAATCAACGACCAATTTTGTTAACCGTAAGATTTCACGACATAAATGGAATGCATTTCCGAATCGAGATTTTTTACGTTCTTTGGTGGTAAGTGTTTTAACAGGCTTCAAATTGAAATTATAATCCAAATGCAAATAATTGAGATTCTTCCGATGAATTAAAAGATTAAGCATATTATAACCTTGTCGACAAACTTGTAATCCAGCTTCAACCCAATCCAACTCTGTAGTTTGGAAGAATTTCGTTGATTTCAATTGACGGAATAAATATTTTTTATTCAAAGCTTTTGGTGGCCGATGTTTTAAAGCATTTAATACAAAACATTTTATAAGTTTTTGATAAGATACACGAACTTTAACTGGTTGTCCAGATGGGCAATGCTCAAGATACCAATTTTTTACTAAAGGTACATCTTCAGCACGACGCATTCTCCCACTACGTTTGTTGAAAGGATGAGGCGCCCACCATAACGCAATTCCATCAGCGGTATTATCAGAATAAAGTGGGAAATCTTCCAGAAATGGCGAAATATTTTCTGATAAAATAAAATCTTCATCTACATCTTTATCACCAAATATTTCATCTTCATGCGAAACTGTTAAAATTTGTGGAACGACATTTCGCGATGAAATAGGATTGATAATAGGATCAAAATAGAAAGCCGGTAAATCAGGATCCTCAGCACGAATGTAGACAACAGTTGGTTCATGATACCATGATACATGAACTGATCGTGGAAGAGAATTATATAAGAAAGGAAATGCAATTTTATATTCCGTACGAATAGGTTGCCTAATTATAATTTTATTTATGTCATTGAATTCATTCCAATCATCATCAGCCGTGTCCATATCTCTATAAAGAGGTTCAAATTTTGGTCCACCGGGAATTGCAACATTAAGAGCTTTTGCTGTGAAAAATGACTTTATATCAAAGAGATAAAAATAATTTGAATCTGTAAGATCAGAAAGTAATTGATGTGCTAATCGATATAAAGTTGACATTATTGGTAAATTTAATTTCCAACGTCGATATGTTGGACCATTAACAAATTTTGTATCCAAAAGAGGATGGTGATCATAAAACCATTCAAAAACGGGTGCATCTTCATCATCTTCCAGTTCCATTTGAATTGCTTCTAGTGGTTCGACATCTAAAATATTATCACCATAATCTAATGGAGGTTCTTCGTCATCAAATGGTGGAAAACGCATACGTTTAAAATGTCGTCTATCACGTTTTTCTCGACGCATCATAATCCACATAGTCCCCCATTGAGCGATATAAACTGGTTCAATAACCCAAGGTATTTCATTAACGAAAGTTATTGCACCAGTTATATGATACAATACTGGTACTTCACGAACCTGTTCCCAAGGCATTGGCATATTCTCTAACAACTTTAAAACTGCATGTGGTACATATTTTAAAGCACCAAGATATATTCTTTTATCATGTCGATACTTTTTGCTAGACATATCTCCGTGATCTTTGATGATTTTTCTAATATGCTCTGGTGGCATATTAGCTTTCTCGTGTTCAATGAAACCAAATTTTCTTTTTTCTCCATATCGTTTTGATTGTAATTGTTGCCATCTCCGAGCCTTTTCTTCTATCTTTTCTGTTGAAGGTTCAGCTGGTTGGGTATTACCGAACTGATATTGATTTTGAGGACTATTAAATTGGTAATACTGATATGCGAACGGTTGTTGTTGTTGTTGTTGTTGTTGTTGTTGTTGATCTGGATAGATAAAGCTTCCTTGAGGTTGAAAAGCATCCCCATATTCAGACATGATGTACTAAAAGATCTAGTTTGGCTGATCTAAAACTTCAACAAACTTCAACTATAATATTTTTCACAACAATGCGATGACTAATATATATATCATGTGATATTATAAAATTAGCCAATTATAATTCATTATAGTCACAAATGGGCAAAATTAAATTTACGTGACATGTAATTTTGCCTAATGGTGACAATCACCGACGGTGAGCTTTATAAATTGTTATTATGTTAGCATCATCGATTACGTTAACACACTTACACACTTACTTTCTGATCTATTTAAAAAATGGCAAACATGGCAAATATTAAATAAAGATTTTAATAGATCCATTATTTAGTAATAATGCTGATTTACAATTTTGGAATATTTGTAGTTTGGAGGCTTTGATGATTTCGAACAAGCTTTAACTTTCGGCATACCCATACAACAGAATCCGAATAGAGGTTTTTTGGAAACATATCGTTGTTATTCGGTAGCCTTGATGCAAGGAAATGAGAGACAAACTGCTAATTATGGAGGCAAAAGTAAGCAGTCATTGTATTAGCCCACAAAAATAAGGCTTTTTTTTTTTAGAAATTTCTAAGGACGTTGATTCGATGCAATTTTTATTTCATTTGCATCAAAATTAGTTTTCTTACCTCCCTCTGCATTAGCCAAATTAGGTATGCAAATTCAAATTAATGTTTTATATAAGTTCAATTAAAACTTTGTTAAATATTAATGTTCCCATTTTTTAATAATAATATAGCGGGTTTAAGCATAGTATATCCTTTGTTGTTTGAACTTCGAAATGCAGATAAACAAATACATACTCACGCTGGAGTTCTTGAATTTATTGCAGAAGAAGGTCGCGTTTATTTGCCTCATTGGGTAAACAATTAGTGTAATATTTAAAAATATTTAAGAAATTCTTTTTATTTATTAAAGTAATATTTTAACCTAAAAGTTATATATGATATAATTTAGATGATGCAAACCTTATTATTAGAACAAGGTGATCTCCTCGAAATCAAAAATGCAAATTTACCGTTAGGAGAATTTGTTAAGATTCAACCTCAGACTCCGGATTTTTTGGACATCAGTGATCCAAAAGCTGTGTAAATATTCAATTCAATATTTTAAATATTTTAATTTTAATTTTTTTTTATTTTATTTTATGGTAAAGATATAATATTCTATTTTTTTTTAAAAAAAAATATTAAATAGGCTTGAAAATGCATTGCGAAATTTTGCAACTTTGACACAAGGCGACATTATTCAAATTAATTATAATAATAAAATATATGAAATTTTGGTATTAGAAACGAAACCCTCAAACGATGGAATTTCTATTGTGGAAACTGATTTAGAAGTAAATTTCTTAATAATTTAGTTAATTGTATATAAGCGATAGTTTTATTAATTAATATTGAATTTCCGAATAGGTTGATTTTGCTCCGCCTGTAGGATATGTTGAACCAAAACCTCAACCAAAAGATACTATGGTAATTTTTTTTTAATTGAGAAATAATGTTTAATTGCTTAATTAATTTTTTCTTTATTTTTTTAATTATATAATTTGTTTTCGTAGGCTAACAAAATAAAGTTTGAGGAACCAGCTGCGGAACCTACTAAAGGCTTTCTAGCTTTTCAGGGTGATGGACAACGATTGAATGGAAAAGCCATAAAAGATGAGACAAATTCAGAGAGGTTTGTTTTTTCGGGAAGTCATTTGTATTTTGAAAAATAATGATTATCTATGTACTCTAATTTTTTTTATACTATACAGTTCAAATGTTCATGATTTAGGCTCGGGTGAGAATATTCCAGCACCATTGAATTTACCTTTTGGGAAATTATTCTTTGGGTATAAAATTATTCCTTTAAGCAATGTTAACAATGAAGTACATGACCAGTCATAGATCATTTGATCTTTGTAAAAGTTGACTAAGTCATATATATGTATTAGCCAATGAAGATTTTATTTATTAATTTTATTATAAATTATTATCATTAATAATTAGATTAATACTTATAGTTTATTAAATTTAAGTAATGTTAGCTCCTAATAATTTTAATAAATGCTTTACAAAATAAAACCAGAATTCGTGTAAAATTAAAACTTTATTAATATAATCGTGTTATTATATGAGTTGATCGGCATATCAAATAATATATGTATATGCCGCAATAATAACATAATAACTTGGGGACGCGATCTGCACTTCAAACATGTCCGATAATATTTATTTATTTCCCAGGCATATTGTATACCTAAAAATATTTTTAAAATTGATACTTGATATATTATATGACTTCACAAATAATATTTCTATAATACCATAAAAGAGGTTTTACTGGAGATAAAAGTTCATATGAATTTCCAGGGCATATTGCTTAATACGATTTTTAATCCAATCTGGTATGCCACCTAACTTGTCAACAAGTTTTTTTCAAACCATTCATATTAATAGAATGATTACTAATCACGGTTATCTGAAAAAGTGTATCAGGAGCAACAATTGCATCAACAGTCGCAAAATTCTTTTGATTTGGTTGACAGTACACACACACCTTCTTTGATCTCATTAATGTCATTAAACATTAATTTTTTGGTACGTTCGGGAAGTTTAATTATAGAACTTATGTCAGAATCTAAACAACGAACATTAAATCTTCCTCCCTTTTGTAAAATTCGATGTATAATACCTTCATTTACTCTACCTTTGAGTCCATTTATCGATGAGCTTTCTGTTACAATATGCCTTAATCGTGTTTTATAATTTTCTATAAATTTATCAGTTACTTTTTCAGCTACATACTCAGATGCAAATACTAAATTTTATAAGTATAAGGGTTCTTTTCATTCTCTTTGTCTGGAATATTTGTGTGAATATGAGCAATTATGTGGATTACCAGTAATACGTAAACTTCTCACATTCTCATCAAAGACAATTTTGAGAAGGTCACATTTAAGTATGAATAAAATGTTTTTAGCTTTAAAAAATGTTTATCTCCTGACAATTGAAGGAATTCATCTTGTTTATTAAGTTTTGTATTCTTTAAAGCCTTCCATAAGTTAATAAGTTTTTTATTCTTATATTCTACATGTGAATAAAAACGAAACAGTATAATAAATAAACTGTTCGAAATATTAAACCATTAATTTTGATGACCTTAATGTGTTAGTCATCAAGGACCAACCCAGTTTTTTTGGGATTAAGAATTGTTAACAGGAAATATTTTAACGTAGTCTGCTACTTACCAGAGGGTCGTTCAACAATAATATGGATAAATCCCTTGTGATATTCTCGGTAATATACTTCACTAATTATTTACCTCTTCATCATTTTCGAGGACTTCGTCAACATCCGTGGTGTCACCACCGAATGGAATGTTTACTTTCCATAGCATAATATCGTTGACAGCAATATTTCTTTTTGAGAACGCCAACATAATCATTTATTCCAATGGTAACAGTAAAAGCTTTCTTTTTAGGATCACCATTGACGAGGCAAAAACGTATTTTATTATCAGACATCGTTGACATGAATAAAGCGGTAATTGTCTCATATTAATAATCTATAATTTGATTATCGTCATTAAAATTTCAATAATTTATTTTTGACAAACTTATGACTATTTATTCGAACAGATTTCCTTTCCGAGAATGTTATTAGTATTGCAGAAGGCAGTCTTCATTATATTTCGTATTGGTATAACTGATAGTCATTTTTATTCTATTCAGAATATTGAAACTGGATCATAATTAATGTATTAGAATAGATAATTTAGACAAACGAAAAACTTAGTATAGGCAATAGTATAAAACAGTAGATAAGTTTTTGATTCTTTTCGATTTTTATTACAATCAATAAAGCAATTTTACCAACTTTTTGAATATAATTGTGTTTTATAACTGATTCATTGAGGGAATTGAATTCCCGAAATTGATATACTTAAAAAATTTTCTGAGGTTGAGACAGAGAATATCTAAGTTAAAGCAAGAAATGTAAAATTAAAACAAGCTTTGGAAGAACATTATGTGTTTAAGATTAAATTCGAAGAGCTAGAAAAAAAAAATAGAACAGACATTGCTAATTTCACGGTTGAGAATACTGGGCTTAAAAAACAGTGTCACGAAATTGGAACAGAGATAACGTAAAAAGTGATACTAATGTTTTGCAATCTCAAGTTTACAAATATCTATTTCTCCTGAAACAAATTCTAACAGTATTCTTGAACAGATAGACTTACGAAGTGAGGATGCTCCAGCATCTAATATATCTGATAACACTTCAAATTGTGATAGTATTCTTGAACATATAAAAAATAGTTCCGATAACACACCCGATAATGAATCTAATTCTGCATCATCTATCACAGATTCTAAATCACCGGAAAATAAAAAGGTTCATTGATTTCCTGAATCGAAATCGAAATGAAAAAGAAAGGATCAATAATAAGATAGGACAATGTAATAGAGAAAAAAAACTTCAGCATGAAACAACTTTCCAAAAAAAAAAAACGCCTTCGATTTCTCAGAATATTGCATCAACTACACTCCATAAGTAAAAGAACGAATAGAATTTAATTTAAGAAATATCTACCGGTGTCAGCAATAATGATATCTTCGGATCGTGTGAGCAAAATTCTACTGAACAATGTTCAAAAATTATATGACCGAAATTTCGCTGACCTCAGGTCAGGAAAAATTGAGCATCTTCCAAAATATAGCCAACTTATATGAAAAAGCATGTAATCAATAAAAGCTGAAGTAATTTTATTATAACATTTGACAAAATTATAATTAGGAAAAAGATCAAATTTATAATTCTATTATTGCACAAAATCCAGTTATCAAATGAGAAACTCAATAAAAAAATCGAAAAAGCCAAAAAAAAAAAAATTATACATAGGTTATTTGAAAAAATTGGATTAGATATATCAAATCATGTAGTGCAAATAAAATATCAAGAACCCCAATACCGAATTGCCTGATAACTAAGATAATTCTGGTAATAATTCTCCTGAAAAGATTTCACTAGAACAATATTCTGATTTATATCAAGAATATAGTGCAATACTGCATTTAAGTATTAGCACTTTTTAATATGGAAAAATTCAAAATGACAACGAAATCGTGAAATGGTTTAAACGAAAAACCAATTTACCACAAAAATTACAATTACAGATTGGTGCTCGAGTTATATTTTTAAATAACTCAATATAAATATGGAATTTGTAATGGAATAAGGTGGGATAACTGACATTGTGATAAGACAACATACTGCTTCGAATGGTACACATGCAAGTCGAAAACAATATCCTATTATTAATGCCTATGCAAATGTTTGAAAAGGGTCAAGCATACACTGCTCTGAGTAGATGTTGCGAATGGAAAAATATTCAAATCCGCTCCCTGAGCCGAGATATATTTATTGTAGATGAATCTATGACTAAAGAATATGAAAGGCTAGAAGCCATTACCATTATCCAGACCATTACAAAAATAATAATTAAACTAATCAAAAATATTTATTTAGAAAAATACATTTTATTTAAATAACCACGTAATTAAAAAGTAGAATCCATGCCTTTATATTTATTTAATAATACATATTCAAGATAATAAAATGGGTATAAGTATCTACAAATAACTGACTCTTGTTATAGTGAGAAGCAGTCGACTAAAAGGTCGTCCATCATTGTTATTGTGTTTATGTCACTGACCTGTCTAGGAGAAGTATCATTCTATGATTGTTGCGGCACCTTGATAGTCTTTCGTGGCAGATGTGTTACTCACTTTTTACTTATATATATATATTATGTTTTTAATTAATGTGAACTATCAACGTGTAAATATAAATTTATGAAGGTGCTTTATTAGAAAGGTAATGTAAATATACTCATTCTATAAAATTATTTATTAAAAACGGAGAACAATTTTTTCTGTCGCGTATCACATCAAATGAAGTGATAAAGTTACTTCATTTTAAAAAAAAAAAAAAAAAAACAATAAAATGTACATTTATTTTCAAAAAAAAAATGATAATAGCTATTTTTTAGATGTATAAAATATTTCGAAGCATATTAATATAAGTAAATAACTAAAACAGAAGTTTATCCCAATAATAAAAAATTAAATCGAATATCAAAAAAAAAAAATAACAAATTAACCTATTCTACATTTAATTATATTTAATTTATATTTCAAGAATGAAAATAATGAAAACCTTTGTGCATTATATTTTAAAAAATTAAAGGATAACTGCAACACCACGTTGTGTAATCTTATTTTTATCGGATAATTTAGCATTCGCATTAATAATGAAAAGCAATTCACTGCGATCCTCATTAAGATAAACTGGAAGGTTTATAGTAGCTTCTGTAACGGGAGTAGCCCTTTGAGAATCAAATAAAAATCATAATTAATTTTGGTATAATTTTTAATATATAAAAATGAATCCGTAGACAAAAACTTACTTTGATTTGAGAACCCATCTAATTTGTGATAAATCTAATTTGTTTAATGGTGTTATGTCAAGTTGAACTTTATCATCTTTCCATATTGCGCCTATAAAATTCAATAAAGTTTAGCATTTTTTTCATTAACCTTTTCAAATTATATAAATTATTATAATTATTATACAAACCTGAAAGTTTTATTCCTGATAGATTTTTTTTTTTTTTTTTTGAATGGAAACAAGATAGATAAATTCTTAGTTTTATATGTTCTCAAGAAAGTGATTTCAAATATAAATAATCTATATATTTAAATTACCTGTGATTGCGAATGAATCGGGGTCTCCACATTTATCTAAATCAATTTCCAAAGTAAGCTCTTCCAAAGACCATTTATGTGCTTGAGCTACCGCTTGACGTGTAGCAGTGATATATGCTTCAGGCATGAAAAATCCTCCAAGCCAGACATGCATGCTTGCGTAATCATTTTCCTTTGTTATATTTTCAACTTGTTGTAATCGACTCTTGAAATCACCAATCCAATGATTAAGAGACACTGTCTTAGGAACTTTGTATTTTCTCCAATGATCGGGTATAATACCTTCGTAATAAAAAAAAATTAATTTAATTTTATACGACGATAAACAAAAATAAATATTTATTTTGTACATTATAAATAATAAAATACACCTACCCTTTGTTAAGCAACTAAGCAACATACGCAAATGATTGGTTTGCTTAAGTTCACCATCGCACACCTTCTTGATGTTTTCTAAATCTATGCGAATAGATTTAAGGAGTTTACGGCCGATTGAATTCTCACGATCGAAGAATCTGAATAATGGATTCTTTATACTCTCAGGGGTTCGATTCATTACTGGTATTTTCTATATTCCAAAAATTTAGATTAATTTTCAAAAGAATCAAAATTGCTAAATTTATTTCAAAAAAAAAAAAACTCACTTCTGGTAAAGTCTTTAACCAATTATCGACAGTTGAATACCTACACAAATTAAAAAATAAATATTAATTAAGTCAACACATTAAAATAATGATAAAATATTTGATTAAACAACTACGTACAAGGAACGCATCCATGCTGGTTGTGCTGATGTTTGTGCTCCTGAGTCTTGGGAATACTCGGTTTCGTCATCATCCGATAAACTCTTCATCTTTTTAACTTTGACTAACATTGCATATCCTATATAATAATAATAATTATTATTATTATTATTATAATTATTAGAATTAACATGTATACGTAGTATCAAAAATGATAGTACTCCGATAAATAAACCAATATACCTTTCGCTGTGGCCAAAACTTTTTCTGCGTTACTTGGTAATCCTAACCATATTGGAGGTTCGCGTTCTGGTAATTTATTGACCCAATTCATAAAGTGGTCCATTTTACTACCCTCTGGAATGGCTAATTTATTGGTATCATCGGAATCGACCAGAGGGAATTCAAGATCGTAGGCGGCGGGAGTGAATAGTTCATTTACAAATGATTCCAAGAGACGTTTATCGAATTCATTATCAATACGACCTCCGTATCCCGCCACACAAATAAGTGTACGGATGGCTTCCCATGGGATTTTATCTGGGGCAATATTGCTCCTGCCCTGAGCGACTGAATCTAACCATGCATCAATAGTATTAATTGCGAAATCTTGATCGGAATCATTGAACTCATAAATTTTAGTCCAACCCAGAGGTACATAACGTAGACGCTCTTGCACAATTGCATGTAACCAAGCAAGCATGAAGTATAGACGAACGCGTTCGTTGGGTCCTTTCGCTAGACGATTTGGAGAGATACTCTTGAGTGAATCTTGAAGATTAGCCTTTATACCTGGTGGGGGCTCGAAAAGAAGAACTTTTGAATGGAAATTTCAATAAATCAATAAATGAAATATATTTTTTAGTATCTTCGAATGTACATAAAATATATAAAAAATTGTATGTTCTTTTGAAAAAAACAAAAAAAAAAAAATCTTACTTCGACTCATTCTTAGTAAATTTACTGGAACTTTTGGATTTGTTTCCATAGTTAGGAAAAGTCTGAAATTTTTATGCGCTTTCATACTATGTAGTTTCTTTTCCAATTGACCTAACCAAGAAGGTGCAAGGTGAACATTTTTTAATAACACCCAATTTCCATTTTTGTTTGATGAGGCAATGGCTTGATCAGCCAATGTAAATCCTTCTTGTGATCCCATGGCCACGGATGTACAATGGACTTTAAGTTCAGTTACGAGGTTATCAACACGATAACTAGCGTCATATCCAGGAATTGAACACAGAGCAATTGGTGTAGATGGTTTAATTTCATCCAGAACTAAAGCCTTAAAGTCTAACTCGCCTTGGTTCAAAAAGGATGAATCGATTGCTTTAGAAACAAATTCAGATACAACTGGAATAAGTCTATCTGGACGGAAACATTTAACTAATAACATTTTGCGTAATTGTATGACAGTTGCTGTTTTTTTTTTTAAAAAAAAAAAAATTTAGTAATAATCTTTATAAAATATAAAATATGTAATTAATAATAAGAATTTTGAATCTTACGAGGTAATGAAGGTTCCCATATTTCAGGTACAGCTTTCTCAGCAGAATCATGTTCCATAAATTCAATCCATTCTTGGGGATTGTTAGCAATTTTTTTAGCAAGATCGGAGAAACACGGGAGAACCGTAAATTCTTTGATTTTGCAAAGTTGATCACTATCGAAAAGATTCTCACGTAACCCTAATTCACGTGGTGTAGTTTTTGATCCTGGAACAACATCTCCGCCACTTAACAAGAAATCGAATTCAGATTCATCTATTTGATTTTTTGAATTACGTATATTGATTTGTGAAAGTAAAATTGCGAATATAATATAATCTTCATGTAAAAGGGCCCGCGATACTCGACGGAAAGTTACAGCAAAAAGATCACGCTTGAGGATTCTTAATCTTTCATCGGTATCGGTAACACCTTGAAGGTTTTGATTTCCATGAAGAATATATTGGAAAATTTCATAGAAAAATTCGAGAGAGAATTGGTAAAAATGATGTAATAAATTCATTTGCTCCATTACGAAAAAGGCTGAACTACAAGCTTGAGCCAATGGAGTATATTGAGCTGTGACTTGCTCAACTTCTTGCATAATATTATCAGTTTCTTCTACTTTTTTAGTAATTTCGGCGGCTTCTGTTTTCAATTTTTCTAACGTATCTAAAACTATTGTATCATCCAAAATGTTGCCCTTTGATTCATTCAAAGCTTGCAGGAGGGATTTCTCAAGGTGACGAAGTTTCAATTTGAATTCTCCTTGGATTTTAATAAGATCTGTTCTTTTTTGATCAGTATCAGGTCTTTCAACTTTAAGTACTTGGTTGAGACATTGACTTTGTAAACTACCACGTGTGACTGTAAAGTTAACGAACGTCACACGGGAACAAACGTCGGGAGGGAAGTTTACGGAAGGATCACGTGTTGAAAGGAATAGAGTAAATGATGGAGAGAAATCGATGTCTTGACCTCCCAATCGAATCAAAACACGACCACCAGTACGACGTAATTCTTTATTAAGAACAGCATTTAAAATAGGATCAAGATGTTCAACGTCTTGAATTAGTAATGGATTACCGAAACGAAGAGCACTTTCCAAGTTTTTGATAAAGGAATCATCCAAGAAACTTGTAACAGTAATCTTTTTGTTTTTAAATTCATTTAACAAGAATGCAGATGCTTGACCGGATGGATCAATTATTAGAGGATATCTATTAAATCTATTAAGCATAATAGCATTTTCTGTACAAAGGTCGTCTGCTGGAAGTGAATTTTCTTGCCAAGATAAACGATCATCGGCTGTTGATAAATATTCTGTCAATGATAATTCTTGTTTGAATTGGATATTGGCGGATAAGAGATGACTTGTCCATTTTTGAAGCAGCATCTCACGGTATTGTTGATCAAAGTAACCTCCGTATGCAAGGAATGCTGCTGAAAGCAGAACGTCACCGACAATTGTTCCCATTTGTGTTTCAAATGCTTGACTTCCTGATTCCCATCTTTCTTTTTCAGATGATAAACTTGATAAGAGAGTCAAACTACGATCAACTTTTTTCTTAACAGTCAACATAACGTTTTTAATATTTTCTTTCTGACTAATTAAATTGCTGTAATCTTCTTTGTATATTTCTATTTGATTTTCTAAGTCTTGAATCATTTTTTGAATACTAACGGCTTTTTGTTTTGTTTCTTCTTGTGATTTTTGCAACTCGTTCACTTCTGCACGTAATGGTCCAATTCTAAATAGAATTTCAGAGTAATTCACTTGAGCAGTTACCCATTTAACTAACGGTCCACAAGCTTTACTGGCTCTATTAACTAGATCGTAATTATATGCTGGCTTGCTAAGGTATTCATTTTTCATTTTTTCTCGCATGGATTTAGTCATTCTCACATCAGTATCGAATTGAAGCAAACTAGTAATGAAATCATCTCTTCTAATAGCAGCTTGACACATTTTCCAGGTATCTGCGGGATGTCCTAACAATACACACACTGAAGTCTTTATGTTGAATTCCAAAGAAAAAGGAAATTAATTAAAAAAATTGTTTTTAAATAATTAGGGTATTTTTAATAAATTCATTAGAAGAAAATAAATAAATCGTACCATTGCCATTTTTACTGCCTCAGGAGGGTTAGCCATAGCACGTACTTCTGAAAGATGTTGCTTCTTAATACCTTGAACACTCTTCTTAGCTTCTTCAACAGCTGGTTCAGCATTAGCTAAATCTCTTAATACAACGGAACGACGTTCATCAATTTGTTTTGTTTGAATTTCAAGAGCAACTTGAATTTCTTCAGATTTTTGTTTTTGTGATTCGGCTTCCTGTTGATCAGCAACCATCTTCTTTAATTTTTCATTCGCTTCTTTCTCTTTATTTTGAAGCTCTGCTTTCTTTATATCTAAACTTATACGAAGTTCATCAACTGTTGTGACAGTTTCTCGTAATTTATCCAAACCATTATTTAAATGACGTTGTTGTTCTTCTAAGTCTTCACGTTTTTCATTGAACAAACGCACATAATGACCAATAAAATCTAAATAATGACGTGGGGTTACATAATTGTAACGACCCTGTCTTTTACTCAATTTAGCATTGACTTCATAAAGACCTGTAAGAAATATAATTGATATTAAATATTCAATATATATATAGCATCAAAGTTTTAATAAAAAAATAAAATAAAATAAAATAAAACATTACTTTGATGTACAAAGGCCATAGCATTAACAACAGCATAACGATGAGGTGGGTTAGCTGGCATTCCGCGATAAGCGACAGGGAATGGCGTCGGGGGGCTGTAAAATAAAATAATAAATTAATAAATTAATTCGAAATATATCAATTAAATAATAAAATAATAAATGTAAAAAATATATACTTGTAGGAAGTAAGGTCCAAATCCAGATTTTGAGTAAATTCCATTCCAACTTGGAAGAAAGCTTGATCAGACCAATCACCAAACCAATCTAAAACACATCGATTGAATAAGGCAGGGGATGTGGCAGCTCGTGAGGCGAGACCACCTTCGGGAGGATTCATAGTAAACACAACATGTAAATTTTTCATTACTTGCTGTGTAAACCATTTATAAAGTTCTTCGTGAGAATCTAACATCAAGCCATCTCTCTGAGCTCCTTCTTTACAACTTGTCATTAAAGTGTTATATTCGTCCCCTTCAAAGAGACCGGGGACTTCGGCATTGGCCAGTAAAGTGTTCATGCGTTCCAGAAAACCAGAATCCAAAACATTGGATTCATCCATGATGAAACAAATTTTTTCGCTTTTACAACCTGCTCTTCTTAAAACTATTCTTAAATCTTCATCGAAATCTTCTCCGGTATATTTGTTATGTGCTTTAATTTGGAATACACTAAGTCCATTCATCCAGGCAACAAATCTAGACAATGTAGTTTTTCCGGATCCACTGACACCAATCAAGAGTAAATGACCTTGCATCTGTCTGAACACACGATCAATACGAAGAACATGATCTAATACATCATTAAAAAGTACAAGTTGAACATCTAATTCTTCTTCATAGAAGACCTTGAGACGAGCTTTTACGTAATCACGTAATTCTTCACGTTCAACTGGAATGTAAGTTTTAGATAACCAATTTGAGAATAAAATTGGACGACTTAAAGCTTCTATTTGATTCAAATTAGGGAAATTTTTCATCGCCGTGGCATCAATGTTATCGTCTGTCCATTTTCTTTCATCTTCAGTGACAAGACGATCTTGGAATAATCGTAACGCTTCGTGGGCCCAAATACGTACTAATCCTTCAAGAGATAGGGTTTCCATGGGTTTGATGGCTTCGTATATACCTCTCATCCATCGAGTCAATTCACGTGGTGAATAAATATAATGGGCTTGAATGTCGGGAGTGAATCGTTTTTGTGACATAAGATAAAATTCCACCATTGATGCAGTAAGTGGTTCAGCATAAGCTCTGAGAGCAGGAACAAGTTTTAACATAGCTCTAGCGAAAGTGCCATAAATTTGATTAAGAGAAATTTCACCGGGATAATCAACCATAACTAATGGTGCATGACGAAGGAATCTGTGGGTCATTGACACTCGACCAGGATCAGTCGGAGGATTACATGCACCAACAAATTGAATACGTTCAAGTTTAATCCATGCTTTATCAGAAGTTCTCCAATAACCACCATATTCAATCAATTGTCTCAAAAATGAAATAACACGTTGTGTACCGTATTGATCACAAGCAGGTAAATTGATTTCATCACAAAATACAACAATCCAACGACCAATAAGAATAGGTGATAAAATAACCCCATTTGGTGTTTTTCGATATTCACAATATTGTTCAAATGTTTTTAAAATTAATTCAGGTGTGGTAGCACTAGAAAAGTTAAGACCAACTACTTCCATATCCGGTAATTTCCTAAGCGCACTAAATAATGTCATAGTTTTTCCGGAACCTGGAGGACCACAAAGCATTAGAGGCTTGTGTTCAGAGAGCCAAGAATACAATACTTCTTCGTGTCTTACTGTATCAATTGTAGGGATAACAACATCAGCTTCAGAAACGGTATGAGTTTCAATTTCAATAACTGGAACTTTTCCAGTCCATGAAACCCATTCACCATTAGTAATTTGTACATCGTAATCAATGATAGATGATCCGGGTTGAGCAGGTGGTAAATCTATAGTTAAAATTCCACGAACATATTCACCAAGCCGTGTACGGAGATCCAATTTTGCGTCTCCAGTGAAACTCCAAATGACACCGAGTGCCAAGCGTTTGGTAGTGTATGCCTCTAAATGATCATTTGGCATAGGAAAATCGGGATGTGTATTATTATATTCAATTACATTACGAACACTCTTGTTTAACAAAGAGAATAAAGTATTTAGCACACGTCCGTAAGTGAAATCCATGATGTGTTCTAATTTTTCTGCAAAAAGAAGAGCTTTTGTAACAAATCCTTCGTCATTCATATGTTTTGCGAGAATAGAGGCGATGGCTCGTTGTGCAGCAAGATGAGGAGATACTGCATCATCTGATCCTTCGGTTCTGCGATTAACTGACCCTTCTTCTTCATTATCATCTAATGGTACAGCTTTTAGAGTTTCCAAATAATTATGGTAAACCATTTCAAGTGTAATAACTTCCTAAAAATTTTTGAAACAATAAATTTTTGGAAATCAGAAAATATAATAACAAAAAAAAATCACCAATTACATGAAAGTATACATCATTAACATACCGAAGAGAACCACACCATACCACAACGACTAACGGTAGCTAGAGTAGCATATTTTAGATTTTCAACTTCAAACATGATTCGAACATTGGATGGAAGACTAAGACGTTCACCATTTGGAAGAGTAAGTAATTTATTATCATCTAATACGGAATTCCTATTTGAAGTAATAAATTTCACATTAATAAACTTTTGATTAATATGAAAATAAATATAACTTTTTTTTTTTTTTTTAAAAAAAAAAACACTTACAAATTTTCTACCCATTCGGGATCGACGTCACCATCAAAAATAATCCAGTGTCTTTTAAGACTTTCACCACGAACATTGTCAATAATTTTACGTAAGATATGAGTGAATAAACCATCAGACCATTCACGAGTCGTTGGATCCAAAGTACCATATAAAGCATCTTTTGAAACAGCTTTAGGATCTATGACATAAGAAACACCTTCTACGCCTTGTACGCGTTCTAAAGCTTCCAATAGAACTTTCCATGCAGTCGATTTACCTAAGAAAAATTATGACCGATATAGATTTTCTAACCAAGAATACTAATTGATTAAACAATTAAACAATTAAACAACGTACCGGAACCAGAGGGTCCCACCATCATAAGACCGTGATGAATATTTTGAATTTGATAAAGTTGGAGAACCTTTTCCATCCACATTTCACCATCAAGAAGACGTTTTTCGGCGCATACATTTTTAATTTCGGCAGTAAGTTTATCAAGATCAACTGGAACATAATCAACGCCAGGGAATACATCGGCAAGCAAACTAATAGAATCAGATTAACGAAAAAATTACCATAAACTCTCAAATAAAGTATTGCAACAAGAGATTTCATAAAATTATGAATTACCTAGTTAATAATAGAATATCGTCAGAGACAAGTTTAGGAACTATAGTTTCTCGAATACTTTGAATTAAAATTTCCTGTTCGGGTACAGGTTCCGAGATAATGGTATATTCTTCTTCACTTGCATTTGCTTCTCTGAGTGTCTGAAGACGTTCACGCTTCAAGTTACCGGCACTGTTAAGCACACTCTTAAGGGCACGAAGACCAAAGTCATAATGCGCTTGTGGTGACAGTTGTTCGGCGCAAAGGTTAAATAATGGTACAACCTTTGAAGCGAGAGTTTCGGCTGTACGGAAACCTTGAGAGTACAACATAACTTGCGCAATCAATTCACGATCAGGTTTTGTCATAGCCATGCTACGGAATAATTTCTTTAAATTATCAGGCAAGTTAGAACGTCCAGCGTAACCAGGATTCATGGTAATAAAAATACCTAATTTTAAAATAATTTAAATGAATATAATAACTTGTAATTTTTAAGCTTTAAATTATTATAACAAATTATTCATACCAGTATTAGTATTAACTTTTAAGCTCTTTCCAACAATTTCTACTTCTGCGTTAGGATTTTCAACAGCTGCTTTTAGACCAAGTTGTATAGTCTGTACTTGTTGTGATACAGCGGATAAAATTCTTTCTTCAAGACGATTAAATTCGTCAAAGCATCCCCATGCACCAACTTGACAAAGTCCAACAAAGATACGTCCCATAGCTTGGAAATCGAAATTTTCATCACAACAGAATACAAGTACAAATCTACCCAACTATTTCATCAACAAATTAATGGACGATTAAAAATAAATTTTAAAAAATCATTAAATCATAAAATTAATATAGCCTAACAGAAAATTATTATAGAATATACCTGTACACCAAGAGCTTTAACTGATTCTGTTTTACCGGTACCTGCAGGACCGAATGGAGAACCACCAAGTCTAGCTTCGAGTGCTTGCGTAAGAGTACAATAACATCTTTACGTAAAATTTTATTAATTATTTTAATTAATTTTTTTTTTTTTTTCGTAAATAATGATAATAATTTTTATAACCATCTACATTAAAAATTATACTGGTACCAACCTATCAGTAAGAGGAGTTTGTACCAAACGATCGGGAACTCCGAGATATTCGTAACCATAATGAAATTGTGCGTTAGCCATATTAATAGTTAAACGTTTTAAGGGATCGTCAACGGTAGCATTGAAATAGAATCTCATTTGATAAAGCCATTCAAAGTCTTTTGGAGTTGATATTTTGTCATTAAGTAATTGACGGAGAAGATCACGTTGATGTACAAGTTCGGTGATTAAGTGTTCACATTTTTTACGTTTAGTAGGAGTCAAATCTTGAAGTACAGTATCGGCTAATACATCTAAAGCTCGTAAAACATAGTCAAGTGCTCCTTTTAATGGGGTTTGATCATTGGGATCTTTTTGTTCCATAGTACTAAGTGCTTTATCAACTGTTTGGGTCCAAATTATTTGTGCGGCAACAACGACCAATTGTGCTGGGAATTTTTCTATCCAATCCAAAAATGTTTTTGTGACTAATTCTTCAGCCAAGTAAAAAGTATTTAGTTCAATCGATGCCTCTGTCAGACATTCAGCAAGTGAAATTCGCATTTGAGTTTCAATCATAGTTAACCTAAAGAATAAATAAATACAATTAGTATAATTAGTATTAAGGGTACAGAAATAAACTCAAAAAAAAAAAAAGGAAAAATTGAAAAAGTGAAAAAAAAGGAAACTTACCAATCATTGATCCTAATATATTGATAAAAGAATAAATCATCAATCATGGTTTAAAATATAACTATTAAAAATTATGAAAAAATAACTGACATACCTTGGATAATCCTTTAGAACAATAGGAACTCTGAAAGGAACTTCTTCACCTTCGCGAGAGGCAATACCAAGGATAATAGTGTTGTCCTCATTTAAAACAATATTGGAAACACCAGCAAACATTTTTTTGAAATGCTTTTGAATACGGACAACATCTTTACTGTTACCAATAATTTCAAGTAAATCTTCGTCACCAACAAAATAGAATCGAGGGAAAGTTGAACGTTGGCGTTCCAAGTATTCACCGAGAGCTTTTTGAATCTTAGATAGAAGATCGGACAATCGTTCCAAAGATTTTTGTACAGTTGGAATGTTTAATACATCGAGAACATAGGGCGATTTGTAAACCTTTTTCATAACATTCAAGAATTCCGAATTGATGTTTTGGAAACGTTGTGTTTCAACTGGAAGTAAATGTTTTATATCGGCACTTCCGCTAAAAATACCCTCAAGATATACCCATTGACGTTGGACATCGATCCAAACATCAAATAAAACGTGAACACGATTTAATTTATCTTCCCAAGATGCAGCGTCTTCTTCAAATTCTTTGTAGTAAGGTGACATCTTCATGGCAGTCAATGAGTTGAGATTTTCACTACATTTAGTAAATAATTCATCCCAGCCTTTAATAAGTTTACATTTATTTTGGTAATTGACAAGTTCCAGAACATAGCTGGTCCATGTTTCTTTGACCTAAATAATTGAATTAAGTTAATGTTAAATATCACTCAATATATAAATTAAAAAAAAAAAAACGAATTTTGTACTTCGTCATAGAAAAATTTGCGTCGAAATCTTTAGTGTGGCATATAAAATCTTCGATATAACAAGATAATATTTTATACGTGCGTTCTCATCTTACGTTGTGACCCAATTCATTATTCATTATAACAAGATTTTTTTAAGAAGTTAAAATTGGTGCCACACTAAAGATCCGTAGCAAATCTATGGAATAAAAGTAAAATGAAAATAAAACAAACTTGTTTCAAGAATTCTTCTAAGGCCATTTCACCAGAGGCTTGTGTAACCACATCCCTTATAACTTGTTCATTCTTTTTAAGATCGAAATCCCAAATATTACCAACTGTCATTTCAGAAACTATAAAGCGTCCTTCTAAACGAAGATTCCTGAATATTATTTTCCAATGACGATCTTTTAATGCTTCAGATTTAAGTTCGGCTAGAATTGGATTAATTTTAATGTATTGTTTTATGGAATCTTGAACATATTCAAAAGCAGCATAGGATCGCATTCGACTTGGCATTTCTTTGGTTGTCGTGAGAAGGCCATCCAATTGTTGTCTAACTTTACGTGGTACCACAGATGACCATAATAATTCTTTAATATCTTTAAGAGATTTCCAAACACTAGAAAGAGCAGCCCAAACAGATTTAAGATCTCGAAGTTCTTCAAGAACGGGGTCAAGGCGAGCTTCGGAAGATGAAGCCATGTTAAGGGCTTCTTTGGCTCGACAAACCATATCATATTCTTCCTTAAGACGAGTAACACGACCTTCAAAGATTGTAAGTGTGTTTGTCGCAGTATCAGGATTAATATCGCCTTGAATAGGCTTTTTGGTATCCCACTCTGAAACAATTTCTTTGATTTTTGCCTCTACATTTTCATCTTCTTTAACTATCTTAGATTGTAGTCCAGCTACAGAAGTATAACAATAAATTAAGAAAATTATGATATTTAATTTACAAATAATTAATTTTAAAGCTTAAAAATAAATATAAATTATTTAAAGAATTACCAATTTGTTCCTGGATTGCATTGTCTTTTCTGTTCAATATTTCATTAAAGGCACTCCACTCTCCTTCAATTTGTTCTACATATAACCAATCACTTGGGAATTGATATCTTTGCCTTTCTAAAGTTTTCTGCCCTTCACGGAACATATCAACATCTTGATTCCATTTTGCGACTTTTAATTTAAGCTCTTGAACGAAAGTAATAAGTGTAACTGCTTCGCTAGTACTATTACTTTCCATAGAACGATTTTCGAGATCTTTACGAGCATGGGAAACATTTGCATTAAAATCTTTCATAAATTCGCCTAATTTGCTACCAAATTTGTTAAGAACTTCTTTTTGCCATGCGTCATATTTTGCATTGACTTTACTTTGAGCTTGTCCATAATCAACTAAAATAGGTCCAAATGAACGAGCAGTGTCTGATGTATCAAATGTTGAACGAGAATTCTTAATCTCTGAGAGAATTTGTTTCCACTTGACGAGATCATCACCAAGTTTAGAATATACATAATTAGCCTCGAGGTCCCAAAGGGATTGAAATTGGAACCAAATATTTACATATTGAGATACTTCTTTTAGTTTATTCTCAATTATTTCATAGGCTTTTTCAAGTGAACTGTCGGGTATTTTTGTCAATAAATTAGAATAAGTCGTTTCTTGAGTTATAGAACTTCTGACTTGTAGATTAATATCATATCTGGAACTTTGAAGTCTAGGTAAATTGCATATAACAGCTAAAATGAGGAAAATAAACAATTAGTTAAATATAAATTAAAATAAAATAAGAATATTAAACAATAAAGTATGTACTTACCAAGCCATTCATGCAATTGATTATACCAATTTGTTCGGGCGTCCTCAATTGGGGGATCCAAATAAATTACTTGATTTCTGATTCGAACCTCATGAACGGAAACTTCGAGGTTTGGTTTCTCAGCTTTTGTAATGATTGGTCTATCACCGTCAATTGAATCATTTCTAGTGGTTCTTCTCTTAGATTTCTTCATTGATTTACCGCTAACAGAAACTGCCTCTCTCATTTCACTAGCACTGGTAGAATCATCTTCAGATGACATGAATTCTGTCGTCCATGCTGAAATGGACTGTCGTAAACGATTAGCTAAGACTTCCTCAACACGATTATCAAGTTGAGAAACCCAAGAGTTAAGATTTGAATATGATTCAAAATTTAAACGATCGATCTATTAAATTAAGCGACAATATAGTAAGAAAAAAAAAAAGATAGTGTACAAATAATTAATTTAAATCAACCATATAAATATGACTCACCAATTTTTGTATTTTTTCCAAGTTTGTTTGGAATTTGTTCAATTTATATGGACATGTCTTAAGATCCTCAATGTGACGAGTAATATCTTCGTAACTAGTAATTAAAGTATCGACTTTATCTTGAAAATTTGAGACACTATCAGCAAAATCTCTTACAAATTTGTCATGTTTATTCTCTGGTGGATCCATAGGCCCACCGGTAATATGTACATTGGTACGGACATAAGTTTCTACAAAGTATCGCCATTCATAATTAATTCCTTTTGTAATCATTCCCTGTACATCATTACGATAACTAGCTACAAGCATAATAATTTCGGGATGCTTCTTGACTTTTTGAACTGTTTGCGCGTAAGTTCTTACTGTCTCCATAAGACTAACTGCAAAAGGATATACACGTTTAGCAACTTTTGCAAGACTACTTATTGTGTGTGGGACCTGGTGATTCAACCACAATAAATTACGCACTTCTTTGAATAAGGTGATAATTTGTGGATCAAAATTTACTCCTAATTGTAGAATGTTTCCTTGGGCACGGTTTCGTGTAATTTCAAACAATCTACCAGTTACATTGAGATCACGGCGGTTAGCAAAATCAGCTTGCCAGGCTTCAAAGATCTAAGATATTCAAAGGAAGATAATGATAATTAGAAAAGAATATTTTTACATAACAATTAATAATAAAAATGTTTTAATATGTCTTACGGGTCTGGTATCCAATTTTCTTTTAAAGTTACTGCTTTCAACTTGTAATTTTTGACCTTCAGCATATTTTTCCCAACCTTTACCAAGAACATCCTCAACACGCTTCATGTAGGTTTGTAATTGACGTTCAATTTGACGAGCCCAGATCATGGCACCGGAGATGGAAGGAAGATCGCGAAGTTGTGCCATATGATTTGCTTCAGATTTAAGATATTGTTGAGTGAACTTAGCTTGAAGCTTAGAAATATCTTCCTTAACCGATTCAATAAGCTGTGTTTGGTATTCTTGAATAGCACCACGAATCTAAATAGTTGGAAAAAAAATTTATACCTAAACTTATAAATCAAAAAAAAAAAAAAGGTAAAGGGTAAAAGGGAAATCATACTTTTGGCCTAACAAACAAGGCATTGAATTTTGAGAACACTCGGAACATTTCGTTGGCATTCTTGCAAGTACCAAGACGATCTCTTAAGCTTGCTATAATCTGATTTTCGACTCTTGAAACTCGTTCATTGTATTTATTTTCTGCTTTCATCCAAGCCTCTGTACCTTCAATTGATACATCCAGCACATCAATATCCTTAACACTTTCATATGCCAATTTTACTTCTTCCAAAGAATCGATTTCATTCGTGCTGATACTGTCTGACTTCTTTTGAATTACATTGTCATCACCTTCGACCACAATCTTAGTATTTCCTTTAGGCTGAGCCATAACTTTAATAATTGTTTGATAAAGTTGTTCATGTTGCTTTCTAAAACCACGAACAAAGGCGACACGTTCTTGCAACTTGTCGTGTGCTGGATTAATTTTAATTGGAATAAATTTGTCTGATCGTTTGCGTGTGACATCACGGGCAACGTTTGTAAATTCTTTGATCATTTCATCCCAGGTTCTGAATACTTCTTCAGCACCAGACATAATCTTTTCAAACTCATCATATTCCATATACATCAATCTACGAACGCTTAATACTTTGAGTAATTGATCATTCAAATCGCGAGAGATTGCTTCAACAAGTAGCAATGCTTTCTTAATTGGATATGGTCTATAAGAATTAGAGATAATTAGAGATTAAAATATGAATAAATAAATAAAGAAAATCTAAATTTCAACAAAGATATATATAACTTACGATAATCTCAATTTTTTAATGAAATGTCCAAATATAATAAGCAATGATTCTTTTACTTTTGCTACATCAGGTGCAGAGAGTAACTCATTGAGAGGGAAATCTCTCATAAGTTGATTATATTTGTGTACTGATAATATTGAAAAATATGATTTTTAATTTTGATATAATTATTATTATGATTATAATATAAAATAATCTAAATAATCTAAAATTCTAAATTTACCTTTCTCTACAGCCTCCTTCAACCCCGTATCGGCAATGAAGGATACAGTAGCATGGAAACGTTTTGCGTGTTTGAGAATATCCATAGTAAGAACTATATAAGATAAAAAAATTTTAATTAAAATACGATAATTCAAGGAGTTAATTAAAAAATATATATATATATTTATATATAACTTATATATACCAATCTGTTCACTTTTCAGTTGTTCATTGATATCTTCAAGAGCAACTTCCATGCCTAACCAGAAATTGATTTCTTGAATGGCATTACCGCTGGAAGGATCACGATTTAATTTGGTAACCTTTTGGATCTCTTTTACCCAACCGTTTACATCTCCTTGAAGTTTATTTAAAAATGATGAATCCGTAAGAAGTGAAGAATCAATCATATCCACTGAAATACGTTTATTTTCTTGTTTACACTGAAATAAAAGTCCAATATTTAGATATCATCAAATAAAGTCATCAAAATAAAATAAAAAAATCATTGATAATAGCAAAAATAATACTCACTTTATCAATAACTGCTTTAACAACGGGATGAATGTTGAGAGAAATCTCGGGAATTTCAACATTTTGTTGCAAATTAAGAAGTGCCAATTCTAGCTCAATGATCTTCTTTTTTGCCAAAGATATCCCTTTTGATAATAAATAATAATAATAATAATAAATAATAATAATATATATTTGTTGTTAGATTAATTTTATAAATAATAAATAATTCAATTTTTGATAAATTTCTCGTGAAATAATAACCTACCAGATTTAGTATCATCAAATTTTTTAGTACTCGTATTTACGACACCTTCAGAATTTGTACCTTTCGCAATTACATAGGCATCGAAATATGGAGTGACAGCAGAATGGATATAAGAATATAATGCTTCATATGGGCTCACATCAGCTGTTCCAGTGTCACTGGAAGATGGACCGGGTAAGTTAATCACTTGAATTTGTGATTGAACGGTACGAGTGGAATCCAAAGTAGTTCCTTGCTTAATGATGGCAACGCAGGCAACATTATTTTGATTATAAGTAAGTTCCTGTGTCAAAGTGTATTTATAGGTTTCAGTTGATAAATCATCATCTAATATAATTAAAAATGTATTAAAAATAAATATTGATGTTTAAAGTAGATCAATAATAATAATGTAATAATGTAATAATAAGAATTCTTCAATATTTTTTTATCATTTTTTTTTATTATTTATTATTTATGTATTTTTATGTATTACTAAAGCTCACCGTTGGTGATCATCATCATTAGTAGGAAAATTTACATAATTCTCTAATAAACAATAAACCTTATCCTTAACCTTAACCTTAATCCTATAAGATGATGATTATCGACGTTGAGCTTTAGCAATTTCATTTCTCTCTTTTTTTTTACTTCGTTTAATATTTTAAAATTTTTTTTTTTTTACGAATGCAATACTGCGGTAATAATACAAATTTCGAATTCTAATCACCTTCTTTTTCCTTTTCGATTTCCTTTTCTTTCTCTTCCTTCTCTTCCTTCTCATTCTCTTTGCCTTTTGTCTTTGAAACATATAAATTTGTAGTCTGTGGTTCAACGGCGAAACGTTTTAATTTATCTACGTTTTCTTCAACATTCCACAAAGAATTTTGTAATTCTTCTCCATCAGCATCTAAGAGCAAAGGGAGAAGTTTATTAAGATGTGCTTGAAGTTTTGTGACATCATAAGAAACTGTAGCAATTGGTATTTGTTCTCCAGACGTGGAGGGTATTGTATCTTCTTCCATAATTTGTAAATCAGAAAGAAAATTAAACCCGGAAAAAGTATTGTTAGAACGGGTTTGAAGTAAAAAAAAATGATAACCCCCCCTAGTTTAATATATATAGTGATATTACGCAATACGAAAATTACGTGTTGAATTACACAAGTTTGACAAGTTTTGAATTTCGAAAAAAAAAATAAAATGTATATTCCGTCCATTTTCACGTGAAACTTGTCTTTACCCTATCATTACTTTCTTAGGTAGTAATTAAAGAAAAATCTCAACCATTCTTGCAAAGTATTAAAAGATTTCAGATGTTTGTGCTTTTCATCAACAGAGATGCTTCTACAAATCTGTAATATTAATGATTTATAAAAATAAAAATAAAAATTTGCAATGTGCATAATACTTTGTTCTTTTGATCAAAAAATACAAATGTTGATCAAGTTATTCAAGTTTATGGCGAAGTACTTTTTGACAGTGATTATTAATCAAATTATTCAAAATGGCAAAGTACTTTTTACAGTGATTATTGATTGATTTCAAAAGTTTTTATAAAAATTTATTAAATTTATTATAGATTAATTAGGTTAATTAGATTAGATCAGATAATTGAATTATTTTAAACATTTTATTTTTTATTTTGATCAATTTTGATAAAAAATCCGCAACAGTTGCACAGGAAAAAACAAGAATATCACCAAAAACCGAAAATTCGGAACAATCCCGAATTAACAAACTTTGATTGGTCATTCCTTTTATGAGCTAATAATGAATAAGCTTAACTCTTTTAACTGTTTCTAATTAGTTAATTAATATAATAATTTTGAATATTTTCTCACGATTAAACAATATGAGTTATTTAGATCCTGAACCTTTACCTGACTATTATGAAGCATTAGGGATTCCTCCCTCGGCTTCACAAGATCAAGTAAAGAAAGCATATAGGAAATTGGCTTTAAAGTTCCACCCAGATAAAATAAGACAAACTTCTGAAACATATGATCCAGTTGAAGTGAACAAACAGTTTATTTTAATCAACGAAGCTTACAAAGTTCTCGAAAATACAGAATCTAGAGAACGTTATGAAGAATTTCGTCGTACAGGAAAATTACCTGAAGAACAGAAACTTTCTAGAGAAGAATATGCAGCTTATCAAAATTTGCGAAATATTCGAAAGCGTTATCATGATATTATGCTTTACAAAGAGAAGATTTTAGAATTATCGAAAATTTTTATAAATAGTGCTATATCACTTGGTTGGACCAATGATCCTGAAAATATTTATTACGCATATGAAAAAGAAATTTCGTTAATAGAACATCAAATTTTTAATGATGATGATGATGATAATGATGATCCCATGAATGAGGATAAATTGATTTTTAATTATGTTCCTGAAGATGATTTGATACAAGTATTTGAAAAAACTCATTGGATATCTATTGATAAAGATACTTTAGTTTATTCGGATTTTGTGGAATCTCAAAATAGGCTTATTGATTCTATTACTAAAATAGTTGCGCCACTAATGTTGGCTTGTTATAATGGGACATGGACCGATGATGAAGTATTTGAAATTTTAAGAAAGGTTAAATGTTTACAATTACAAGTTATAAAATATTTAGAAACCATAAATAAACAAATTGAAACAAACGGTCATGATTTTGATCCCAATATTCTTAATGAGGTAAAGTATTTGATTTTTTTTTAATGTTACGATGTGACAATCAATTTCCAAATCCATCATCTTTATCATCATCTTTTCAGACCAAAGTTCAGACTATCCGAACCGAAATAAATAATATGGCCGAACATCCTATTATGAATAAGATCGCCAGTGGTAAATTTGGACAAAATTTATATCCTCTCCTTCAAACAGCCGCACTATTTGGTCCACCATTGATTGGATATTCTCTTTACTGGTTTGTTTATTCCTTTGATTATTGATAATCATTGATAGCTATTGATAATCATTGATAATCATTGATAATTATAATAATTATATTCTTTTTAAATAATGATAATATTTTTTCATTTATTATTTAATTTAGGTCTTTATTTGCAACTATATTAGTAGCATCTATAAGTGTTAGACGTAATGACGGGGACCTTGAAAACTTCAATCAATTTTTGGAATTATTTGATGGCGCAATTGGAGTATTAGAAATTACAATTGGAATAAATAATGATGATGATGATGGAGAAATAATGAATAATTGAAATAATCACAAATATTACAAATATTGTATTGTAACATAAAAAATGATTTATTAAAAATCAGGTGTAATAAATGACAGAAATGATTTTTATTATTATTATTATTATTATTATTATTATCATTATTGCATTATTATTATATCTAATTTATGCCTTCTGAAAATTTTTTAATTAATTTGCTTCTTTTTGTTCTTTTTTGCTGTTACAACTTTAAAAGCACCTGCACCATTTCCTGTGTAATCTTCTTTTGAATTATTTCCAGTGGTTAAATCTTTGTTCAACTTATTGTCTGCATGACTAAAACTCATTGGTAAACCATTAGCATCTGCTTTACGTCTTTTGATAAATTCATCTGCGAACCTACGACCATCAAGAGTAGGTGAATTGGCATAAATAGAATCTTGTATAATCTCAATAGTAGCTGGTGGTGGATCAAGTGGAAATGATAATAACATTTGTAAAAATTCATCAACTATTTTGTATTGAAAAATAATAGAATAAATTAAAATGAAATAAAATAAAAATAAAAGATTAATTCATCATTTGAAAAATCAATCAATAAAAATGAAATCACGAAATTAAATTATAAATACCATTAACATTATTTAATCCACGTAAAGCGTGACGGCACCATTTTAAAAATTCTTCCGAAGGAGGTTTTGGAGCGGAATATTCAGACGAATTTCCACTGGCTGAATTATTATTAGACTTAACGGTGCTATTGGTAGTCACAGGTTTTGAAATTCCCGTATTTACTCCACGTGCACTACTTTTTTGAGCTTCACTGACTTTGTTCGACTGATTTTGACTCCTAAAAATTGAGAAACATAATTGATATCTTTTAAAATGCATATTTTATTATAATAAATAAATAAATAAATAAATAATGTTTAGTACTGAACTTTACCTAGAAGAGTTTTGTAAACCGTTAATACTTTTATGATCATTATCCCAAACGTTTGGTGAATCTTTAGATACACCACCTGGTTTTATTACTCCACTTCCAACAGTACCAACATTGGTTGTAGAGATATTAGTTGTAACCGCACGTGAAGATTTACTGGCGACAGTAGTCCAGGCATTATTCATAGTGTTGGTTGGAGGTTTCTGTAGATTCTATTATAATAAATAATTCTTTAAATTTATGATACAATTGGAATAAAATTATAGAATAAAAAAAAACAATTTTATTATAATACAAACCTTTGGCCCAACATTTACATTTCCGACTAAAACAGTATCAGCATAACGTTTTCCCATATTACTCTGAGTAGTCGTAACATTAGGTACATTTGCATTATTTATAGCTGCTTGTTGAATCTCACGAAACTTATTACGTCTCTTTGTTGCCTCCTCTTCTTCTTTTTGAATCTCTCGTAGTGTCTTTTTGGGAGGTGGGTTATTTGATTGCCATGCTGGTGCCGTAACAACAGGGGATGTCGAAAGTGATGATGAATTTGATTCATTGGATGAAGTAGGAACAACAATACCCCATGATATGGACGAAGGTACCGTGTCTTCTTTAGTAACGGTGGTGGTAGCATTTGTTGTTGTGACTTTTTTTTCTGATGCCTGTCTTTCTGCCGCTTGCTTAGCTTCCATTTCTTGAATTTCTCGAATTGATGGAGCCTTTAAAACTGTATGATCTTCATCCTTAGCCCATGGTGCTGGAGTAGCATTAATCGTTGAGGATGTAGAAAATTTTCTTTCTGATATGTGCCTTTCCGGAATATGCCTCTCCGTTGATTGTTTTGTTTCCAATTCTTGAATTTCTCGAATTGACAATGTTTTCTGAGACGAATGATCCTCATCTTTTCCCCAAGGAGCAGGAATAGTGAATGTGTTATTTCCCCAAGCTGAATTGGAAACTTTTTGCGTTTGAGATAACTTAGCAACAGAAGAAGAAGAATTTATTGATTTTTCCTTTTCCTTTTCCTTTTCCTCATATTGTTTTTTACGCTCTTCTTCCGCCTGAATTTCACGTAAAGAAGGTTTTGAGCGCAATGTTCCTTCATTTTGCGTTAATTGAGGAGCTGATTCTTCAGATTTTAACTTGGACTCTACTTTTTCTTGATTAATTAAATTTTCTTCGATTTTCTTGGAAAAGACTTCGTCATCTCCAAGAATAGGTTTAGTAATAGACTCTGTAACTCCACTTAGAATTTTATTATCAAAAGACGGCTCACTAATCTGTCCCCCCGTAATATCATACTGTCGTTCATTGGTACGATTTTGATTTTGCAACGGTTCAATAATCGCAGATTGTTGCATTCCTAGATTGATTTCCTTCCTAAGATTAAAATATCCTAAATCATCGGATTGTGAAACCCTAGAAGGAGTAGCACCAATTCCCGGGGCAATTATTCCCCACGGTGACATAGAGGGCGGCTGTTGTTGTTGTTCTGTTGTAGTTGGCCACCCGGTAGATCGAGTTAATGAGTCAATGAATGGTGAATTTGGAGCATTGGTTATAGGCGCCGAAACTGGGCCGGATATTCCAACAAAATTTTGATGACTTTGATGCTGTTGGCGAATAAAACCATCTGGATAGGCACTTTGAGAAAGCTGTTGTCTTTGTTGTAACATCAAAAATTGTTGACGCTCAATTTGTGATGTTAAAGCACGTTGCTGTTCCAAATAAGTAGGAGGTGGCGAAACATTGAAAGATGCTGTGTTATTAAATAATGGAGGAGGTGAATTTGGTGCTTGTAATCGAGGAGACAAATTTCCGGCATTTGATGAATAACCTTCAGTTTGTCCCCATGTATTATTTGCTGTACCCAGATCGTTCCATCCGCTTGTGACATCATTTCGGCCAAAAACTCCCCCAAATTGATATCTATCAAAAGGTGTAGTTGGCACAGAAGCAGTACCTCCAAACGGATTAAATCTTTGTTGATGATCCAAAAATAATTGTGCTGTACTTGGAGAATTAGGAGTAGCCCAAGTACGAGGAAAGGGGTCATTTATAACACGTGAAGAATTATTTGGCATTGCTATTGTTAAAGAAGGTCTTGTTATAGAAGCAGAAAATGGTCTTTCATCATCACCAGTTTTTCTTATCAAAGCACCTAAAGGTTCAAACGTTGGATCCTCAACCCTTTTAACTAAAAGACTAAGAACAAAAAATCCCCCTTTATACCAATCATTCATTTCCTGACTACTAAATGGACCTAAAATATTAATTTTTATTGAGAATTTTCGAAATAAAAAAAAAATAATAATAACAATAATAATTAAATATATATAAAAAAAATATATATATATATTATATATATATAAATATATACCTTGTATATTACCACTTGGATCTCGATATAGCCATTTCTGTTGTTCAGGTGCCTGTTTTCTCGTATCAGAAGTTATTACACTTCCAGAAAATAAACTCGAGGCACCAGAACTTGTGTCACCAAAAGCATTGCTTGTGCCGATTATAGAATGTGTACTGGAATATTTGGTTGACTTTGTAGGAGACATAGGCGGAGTGTTTCCTACCACATTCGTATAAGAAAATGCTTCTTTTAACACATCATCATCCTGGTCTGCGTCAAAATGATGTGGTAATAATAATTGTTGATGATGTTGATGTTGTTGCTGTTGCTGCTGCAAAATCTGCTGTTGACGATGTTGTATTAAATCTTGCTGATCTTGTAAAATTTGTTGTTGCTGTTGTTGTTGAATCAATAATTGTTGTTGTTGATGCTGCTGCTGCTGCTGATGTCGTAGCTGTAATTGTATTTGTTGTTGTAAATGCTTTTGTTCTTGCTCTTGCCGCTGTTGTATTTGCATCTGTTGTTCTCGTTGTGGAAATTGTAATTGACGTTGCCTTTGTTTTTCATTTTGTTGTACTTCCTCTTCCATCTCTTTTTCATGTAATTCTAATTGTTGTAATAATTCATGTTGCTCTAATAATTGTTGATCCAAATTCTTTACTTTATCAGGTTCATCATCACAGTCTTGTTCTCGTTCTTTTTCTTCATGTTTGAGTGTAGAATTACGATTGTTTTGTTGTTGCTTTTGTGGAAGTTGTTCTAATTGTTCATTCAGTTCTTGTTGATCAAAATCTTCTTGAACATTTCTCTGTTTTAGATTTTCTTCCTGTCGATTGTCTAGTTCTTGTAAATCTTGCCAACCTTGTTGACCATCTTGTTCTATCGTGTTTTGCTCTTCTCTTAATGAAGAATGTGATCCTTCCATATAAGTGCTTTTCGAGTTTATATCAATTTCATTTATATTTTCGTTTTGATATTCTATTTTTTGATTTACCAACTTTTCTTGTAGATTATAATATGTTTCTTCGTCCGAGTGATCTGCCGGATTTTTCTTTTCGAACTATTTAGAAAATAAGTAAGTTTCTAAAATATGGTTCGTAAACTTAAAATTTTAACCAACCTCTTGTTCAGTTTTATTATTATGTTCAAAATCATCTTTTTTAGATTTATCTATAGATTCGTCGTCAGTATTATTACTTCCTGGGATTCGGAAAACCCCGTTACTATCAAAAGTTCCTACTGCATGACGAGTGACACCGTTCCACACGGGGTCATCCGCAGATAAGGAATTTGCAGAACCAGATATTCTAGGTGGACGGCTGCTACGTGGACTCGTTCGACCACTCAGCACTCCAGTAATTCCGGTAAACCTTTCCGTTCTAGGGGAAGTAAGTCCGGTTCCAACATGCTTTTCTCCTCGTGGAGAAAATGGTACTCTCTCTCTTTCTGATACGCGTTCATTTACTGTGACCGTACCTCCTCCCGTAGCATTGGATACCATACGTCGGGTAAGGTCACTATTAACGGATGTACCTGTTAAGAGCTTTTGATAGACATCATAATAAAATTAATAAAATTAAATTGAATTAAATTATATATTATTATATTATATTTTAAATTAAATTCAATTAAATTAAGTTAAATTCAATTAAATTCAATTAAATTATATTATATCCAATAATATTATATTATATAATATTATATTATTATTATTTTATTAATTAAAATCCTATAAAAAGCTCACCACCGATGATCATCACCACATAAGGAGTTAGAGTTAAGGTTAAGGATTAAGGTAGTTAGGGGTTTGGGTTTTATTTAGAGAATTATGTAATTTTGCCTACTGGTGATGATCATCGGTTGTGGGCTTTTTTGATTATAAATATTTATATATATTTTTAAAAAAATCAACATAACTTTTTTTTTTAAATAAAACTCTTTTTGATGAAAGATACCTTATGTTCGTGTTCTGATAAATTTATTAAGGCCATTGGTTGTAATGGCTCTTCACTTGTAACATATTCATGTCTTTCAAATTCTAGAGGTAATCCTACAGGTTTATATAATTTAAGCATTTTTTCCTTGGAATATTTGAAGGGATTTAATTCAGAGTCACCGGCACCTGGTACGTCAGACTTTTCGGAGGCTTCATGGTGAAGCGAACGATTAGTTGTAGTATTACTACTATTTGCAGCAGCTACAAAGGACCAAGAATGTGTATTTGTGCCAGTATTTACGGAAGTATTTGTGTTATTGTTTGTACTTCCCAAAATGGAAGACGAATTGGTTGGCACATTGGATGACAATGTTGGGGAAGTTGAACGATTATTATCGCTCGTTTGAGTTTTTGGAAAACGTCTCATCCTTGGAGTAAAGGTTGAAAGCATAATAATGTTATTTTAATAAATAAGGTGTGTAATCAGAGTAATCAGACTTATAGAATGTAAAAATCTAACTTTCTTTCGCAAAATCTGAAGCACCGGCTTAAAAAGGAAATTTTATAGTCAAAGAAACACAAAACTTACCACTCTGGACCAAAGTTCATGGTATTGCTTGTAGCCATTGTAAAGTAATTAGAGTTAAAGTTAAATTTTTTGCTTTATTCGCTTGAATACCAAATTATAGTATTTATTATCACTTGTCAAGATTTTGACGAAAGGTGGGCTGAGCTAAATGAAAAAAAAAACGGTTTTATTATTGTGTGCGATCATTACACATGATATCAAACATCTGATACTATGCTTAATATTAATTATTCATATGTAACATATTATTGCAATAGATGGGTATTTTCCTTAACAAAAAAAAAATAAAAATAAGCAATGTTCAAGGGAATCTCAAAACATAAATCCGAGAACTAATTTCTTTATATCTGAACGTACAACTTCTAATAATTTCCAATGCAGATTTCTCTTTTATAATTCTTTGTTTTAAAAAAAAATTTTTTTTTTTTCGAAGAGTAATTTTCGTCATTTCCGTAACACGTGAATTCCAAAAAAAAATTAATAATTGCGACATCTTAACCTGTGTATATTCTTATCCTATACCTGCAGATGTTAGAGTTAGGGTTTGTAGTGTATTATCACCGTGTGTCACACTTTCGACCCTGGTTCAGGCTAAAGTATCGTTTTTGAGACACCTATGGTTATTTTTTTGATACATCAAATACGTGTGACAAAAATGGTCATTTTTTGATATGTCTATAATTGTTTTATTTATAGATGCATCAAAAAAAATAACTATTTTGTCACAATAACCATAAATATATAAAAACAATACCTTTGCCTGGTTCAGGGTTAGAATTTATTGGTCCATAGTTTAGCAGGTAATCATAAATATTATTTTCATGTAACAGATAATGGTGACAAATATCAGATGACAAATATGGTTTCATACTTAATAAATAAACTATTCCTAACAAATCCAATCCTAAGCCATATATTTAATATAAGAATTAGGATAAAACTAGAAATTTTTTACTCCTTGAATTTAGATCCATAATTAAAACAAATATTAAAAGATGTGCAAAAACTCTGTTCTCAAAATAGTGTAAAATAATATTTTTACTATAATATTATTTATTTACACAAATCAAATATAAAAGATATGTTGTACTGAAAAGAAATTTTAATTTTTGCTAATTTATAATATAGAATATAATAAGATGGTCAATTTTTAAATAATATATAATATAAGAATTACCATTTGATATAGTGATTCTTTTGTATTTAACTAGTGTTATTTTATATAATTTATTATTTTATTAATTTATTAATTACTTAGATAAAATATAAGTAAATTGTAAATTGTATAATAAGTAATATATTAGGTACAGAGATAATGAAATTATGTGATAACAAAATACAAATTATTTATTTACTAAATATAAATTATGTAATGTTATTTTTTAAAAATTCACATATTATATAATATTATTTATTAATTTTATACTAAAATGTAATATTATTTTATAAATTTTATATTAAATTCAATTTAATGTAAATAAAAAATAAAACAAAAAAATAAATTATTCTTTATTAAATTTTATATTAAAAGCTATTAAAATATAATATATTTAATCTTTTAAGAGAATCTAAAGATAAATTTTGACAATTACTATCTAATAAAGAATTATATATTAAAAAATTTCATTTTATACTATAACTTAATATTGGTAACCAAATGTGATCAAAAGCTATTTTAAAAAGAATTGGTAATTGTATTATCTTACTTAATCAATATTAATCTAATTTGATTTCATTAATAATTTCATTATTTAATTCACAATAAATTTTCAATTCTCATAATAACATATCTGATAGATTATTAAATTCTTTAATAATATTATATCTTCTAATATTCTTTTATAAAATATCTCCTATATGAATGTATTTTAGATCAAAAACTTTACTTGTATGAAAAAGTAAACAGAATAAATAATTAGAAATATGTACTTTAAATTTTTGATAAGTTATTTCAAAAGCTTCTCTAAAAATAATATAAAATTTTTTTATATTAAATTTTAAACTTGTAATTAAGTTTTTCTAATAATGGATCAAAATAATTTGCATTTCTATTTGTTTTAATATATGAAGTAAATTGTTGAAGTCATAATTTCACTAATGAAAAAATAGTCTTTTTTAATTATTAAAAAAAATCTAAGTCTTGAACAAATTCTTTTATATAAATTAAAACAAAATTAAAATAAATAGTAATAATACCTAACTCTTGTTCATTTTGTAAATGAGAATTGATACCTTTTAGATTATTATATTTTTTATCATTTCCAACTTCTTCTTTAAAAAGGCAAGTCAATAAACTATATAATTTTTTATATAAAATACTATTTTAAATTAGAAATTCTAGTAAATTTTGTTGTATAAAGGAATTTTGCAAGGAAAAAAAATTCCACGCATTTTTAAATGAGTTAAATATTTTTATTACCAAGTAGAAAAATAAATAAAAACTTTAATTTTTTTCAAAAAATTTTTTAATATTTTAAAATATGAAAATATTTTTCAAATATCTTTAAAAATATAATTTTTATATTAAAAAAAAATTAAATAAATAAATTTGTATCCAATAAAATTTAAAATATGTACACAATATAAAACATAAGTTAATTAAAGTGTTAATAATAATAAAATTTCCTGATTACTTCATATAGGTAGTTGAATCAAAAAGAAACAATTATGATAAATCAAAAAATATATTGAAATTTGTAAGAATAATTATAAGAGTTTGTTTTATAGTAGTATTATTAACTCGTTCAAAAAATTTACAGATACTAGTTTTATTTTTGTCATAATAAATAAAAATAATGTTAACAATGTTTCTTGCACAATCATCTGTAGTTTTATCTATAATTATAGCCACTGGTTTAGAATCAAATAATAATTTTAAAAATTGATAATATTTATTAAAAACATTAGGTAAATAAATTTGATAAAGTATTAGAGTTTGAGAAATTGAATCACCTTTTTGAAATACTTTTTAAAAATGAAATTAATCTATTAACTTTTTTAAGAAAAATATTTGCTATTATGAATGTTTCTAAGAAATCTTTAATAACTTGTTTTTTTAAATTAACTATAGCTTAGTTAATAAAAAAAAGTAAGTTGTGTTTTATTTTTTTTTTCTTATTGTTATGACTATTCACATTTAAAATATGTTTTTGACTTTTACAATAATTATCTACAACTGATTTTTGCTTCTACTCTATAGAAGTGTTGCAGTAGTTACAAAAAGTATATTATTATCAACATGAAAATATTATTATATTTTTTACATTTGTTATGAACTGATATAGCTTTTAGTTTTTTTTTGTTCTAGTGAGGCCTTGCTTCAAATTTATTAATTAAGAAAAGAACAAGTTTTTTATATTATTATTACATAAAGCAAAATATACAACTTATTCTAATAACTATTGTAAAAAAATGGAACTTAGATTAACTCTATAAAGAGACATACTTGTAAACTATCACCTGACAGCAACAGCTATCCTCGACATATTAAGGTTCTGCTGAAAAAAAGAAAATGATTTATAGATTAATAATAATCAATAATGATTAAATATAATATTGTAGATTATGTAATAGACTATAAAGAATTATAAATTATATGATTTTATGATGTGATATGTTTTATGTAAAATTATTTATTAATGTGATATTATGTGATTACATAAAATCACCATTCCTAATCAAATAAATTATCAAATATATCACTTAAGTAAATTACCTGTTGTACATAACAAATATATCACCTAAGTAGATTACCTATTACTAAAATTAATAGATTTATAAATTAATAAATCATGTAGTACAGTAAATTAAAGAATATAAATATAAGTCTTTTCTAATCTTGGAAAACCAGAGATAAGAAGTAAAGATTAAAATAAAAAATTTAAATAAATTTGAAATTTCCTTTTATAATCTTTTATAATATCTTTAATTTCTAATTTTTATTTTTATCTTTATATTTTATCTTTATATTTATTATTATATTTATTAATAAAGTTATAACCTATTAAATATTTCCATTAATTCTTTATATTATTAATTTGTCATATAATTTTTATAAATTTTGAATAAATCTCAAGTAATCAACATCAGGAAATTTAATTAGGCGTCGATTTACGGAATATCACATGACCTCCAGAAATTTCCGCCTGAAAAATTTGATTTTTTAACTTTGGCCAAGATTTAGGCGACAGGGAGCGATTTTCTACTAAGAT